ACCTGAACAGGTGCATGTGGGCTGCACCACTCGGTTAACTTGTATGGAAAGAACTTATAATTTTTGTGGTATCTGTGGTCTCTAAGCTTTCAGTGACAAGCACACACTTTAAAGCAATAAAGTGAATATCACTCTTTTTGCTTTAACATGAGCTCTCCTCTTTCTGTCTAAAAAGAATATGGGCAAATGTTGAAGCTGCACTCGCACACCATAAATGGACACTAAAGGGAACTATTAAGCCAACGTTGATTGTTGAAATAGCAGTCCAGAAGCCTCGTACTGCTACTTTTGTACCAAGGGCTTATTTTGAAATAAAATCATGTTTTAGTGCATTGCATCGGGTTTGCGCACTTCAGATTACCCGCCTCAAGAAGCTGACTGACTCACTTCACTGTTGCTGAGCACAATGTTGCCCAGCTGCCCAGCGTTACCGGGCAACATTGTGCTCATTGGGCCCACACTAGTAGACGAAACGAAAGCAGCAGGAGCCACAGCAGCAACAAAGGCCATTGATCAATTTCCTGCCATTGACTCGGAGATGGCAGACGTGCTTTCGTTCAACTGCACCATGCTAGATGGCACGACCTGTTCAGTTCAACCACGCTAAAAATGAATTTTTGAACCACTTGTGCCATTCTCCATAGTAACGTACGGCGTTTTCTTTTTTTCATGAATCAAACAGAAATGAACAAGCAGCATTTTATTGCGTTTCTTGATGCACGGAACGTTTTGATTAAGTGCAGCTAGATCGACTACTAGTGATTAATTGTAGGCGGTTCATCTGACGTCATGGGTATCATTTTGAGAATGTCCTACTGCAGCGCATGTATTCTTGTGCATTTACCTTAATATCTCGGTAAGTAGGCACTGCTTTTGATATTATTGTCGTTTTAGATGTCACACATTGAGCTTTCACTCTGGCATAAATTTTTATTTTACTTTAGTGTCCCTTTAATGCCATAGAAGTTAATGCTATTGAACTTAATGCCATTGCTGTTCTGGCAATGAACAGTGATGCAGCCTACTTGGGTCGTTGCCTATACTAGGCCGGCAGCATGCGCCACACCACACATATTTCCCAAGCAGATAGTTGAAGATGCATATCAAGAGAGGATTGTTGGCGATAACGCTGATAAGTCGCATTGTTGGTGCCCATGCATTCCTAATGCACATCAGTGCAGGCATCATTCCTACACTGAGCCACATCACATCAATGTCACAATGACTGGTCGGCTAATCTTTGAGACCCAAACACAGAGCGGGGTCAACCACACCACAAGTTGAAGAGTGCGGTTCACACGACGAAAAGTGAAAGCAAGACAGAACACTCGGTTCCGTTCAAACATTCGATTCTGTTCTTGCCACCCATCATCTTGCATATGTTTTAAGGGGGGAGATGGCATTGAAAAAAAAACTTTTTTATTTGTTGACCTACAGCAATGAAATTTGGCATGCATACTCATAAGTGTCTCGAATAGGGAAATATGCAGTTTCATCATGATAGCTTCAGTAGTTCTCAAGTTACATAATGCTACACGATCCAATTACATGGTCTGCTTGTGGAAAGCCTAGCGCTGCAACAAAACGTGCCAGGAAGCTGCGAATGGTGTTGATCTTTACTCAAAAGAAAGCTACAGGGTATGGCACTCTCAAAATTTTTTAATAAGTTCTCTTTTTTTTTTTTTAGAGATCATCATGGCTGCCGGCACACATTGTCAGAAACATTGGCACGGACAAATCATCATCTAGAAAAAATAACAGGGCCATAAAACATAAATTGAAGATTGCTGTACCCACAAGCAGTGGTCAGGGATTCAGGAAAAAAAATCAGAATCAAAATCGGTCCAGTCATTCCCGTGCTACTCTTTCCACGAGCAATGCACAATGTCCAAAACACACTAGTGAGAAAAAGCTTGTCGAAGTTTTCGACAAGCTTTTTTCAATGAACTTTTTTGTTTCTCGTTGGATATTGATGAAAATTGGCACAGACACTAAGAATGACCTCACAGTGCTTCCATAAAAATTTTGAAGCGATACCACAAATATTTTACGAGAAACAAATTATTTTTCTATTGAACCATGTGGAGAGGCTGAGCATAATGTCAAAAAAAAAACAGTATTGAGAAAACTGCGTTTAAAGTTTCAAATTTTCTTTACAACTCTAAGACACCTAAAAATTGTGATCTCAGGTTTGTCTTGTGATATTTGACTTCTTTTCATGATTAACTCCTTTTCATGATTTACAAAAAACAAGTATGGATTTCAAGCCAAGTTGTTTGTATGAAGGAGTGGTGTGATAGGTATGACAGAAAAGATTGTAATTGAATAAAACCATATACTGAAATTATTACACATACTTTTTTGTGCTGAAGTTGTAATTAGCGTAATTAAGTACTTGATTACAAATATTCACTGAAAATTTCTTTATTTGGAGAGAGGTTTATTGCATCAGAAAAATGGATCACACCATGACGGCCTATGCCTTCTTTCTAAATAACAAAGTTATGGGCAGAAGACTGGTGGCACGGGAATTTCTAGCAGTATAATTAATGACACGAAACGGGCATATAAAAATTCGCGCCCCTGATTCATACATGCTCCTTCGCCGCTCTAGCTGTGAAAACGCATCATCATGCAGCCGGTCGCGGAAACTTTAATCTACAGCAATTCATTAACCTCGGAACAATCATAGACGTTCGTGGCGATATCAAGCACGGCTCCAGGCACGTCTGAATCGCATCACAAAAGCTTATTGACAGCACTCCATATGACCGTGGGGTGCGCGGCCGCGTGGACAGTGCAGCCGGCGCGTAATGCACTTGCCGGCGGCGTTCAATGACGATGCGCGAAATGTGTAACTACGAAGACAAAAAATCGGCACGCACTGCACTTGGCATCGCATTTTCGAATGACGACGCGCGAAACTGCTAGCCGCTGTTCCGAGCGATCCTTGGCAGTGAAGGGGGGGGGGGGGGGGGGTGACGAGCTTGACTGTGTTGCCTGCTGCCGATGCGTAAAATGCCCGTACGTGATTCAGAGGAGCTAGCGAGTAATGTGATACATTCCTTGCGAAGAAGCACGTCGCCAAGAGTGCGCTTACACGTCGTTCCTGCCCGCAGTCTCGCTGTCAGCGGAGTCGCGCCGCACTCGTAGAGCGCCGCGCGCCCGCTCGTAGTAATCTGATAGTGCATCCGGTGCGGCTACTCGTAGTAATCAGATCGTGCCGCCGCTTTCAGCTTCGTTGCTTGCGAAGAAGCACGTCGCCACGGATGCGCTAGCGCGTCGTTCCTGCCCGCAGTCGCGCTGTCGGCGGAATTAGGGCTAAAGACGACTCCGATGACGTACGGCGCTCGTAGTAACCTGATCGCGCATCCGCTTACTGCTCATAACTAAAGCGTAGTTATATCTTAAGTGATTATCAAGCCGTGAACACGTCATGAAAAAGTGGCGATTTCCGAGAGCCATGTCCTCGCGACGCACAAGCAGCAGACGACGATCTCCCGGAGCAAGCATCGGGCCAATGGCGAGGCAAGCTGAGGCAACATGGCGGCCACGGCCAATCAAGGGCCTCAAAACGACCTTCAAACATTTGCTTTTTGCTCGCTTGTTGTTAAAGGGAGGAGCCAGCTGAGGCGGGAAAGTTAAACACGGAGAAATGCTCTTTCCGATCAGCCCAAGAAGCTGGCTCCCGGCCCAAGCATCGCGAAGCTATAATTTTTTGAAAATCGCCGTTTTCTCGCCATTTCCAGAAAAAGTTTTGCTACCTAGGTGGGTGAAACGAATTTTCCGAAGCACTTCTGCGCGGTTTTCAGTGTAGATATTTTGGAACCAGATAGAAAAAGGGTTCCAGAAACTGAGAACTTGAGTTTCAAAAAATCTATTTTTTTGCCATTTTTCGCGATCCCAAAGCCGCGCCCCCCTTAAAGGAACCAAATGCATGCATGCAATATGTAAAAGTTTTTTTAAATCGAAATTGCAACATGATTTTACCATGTTAAAAACTACAAAAAAGAAACGTTCTTTTCAATGAAGTTAAGATAGAAAAATTCTTTTTTTTGTGCGTGTGTTGACTTATTATTCAGGCCCCTTTCATATAAGGAATTTATTGGACCTAAGGAATTTGTTGGACCAAATGCTTTACCTACAAGGTCAAGTTTAAACCTAATTAAGTAAATTGCCAATTTTACCAATTTGATTGCATTGTGATTTTAACTAATTACATTTGCAGCTATGGCAACTTAATTTAACTCTGTAGCATTTTTGACAATGGCTGGGTACAATATGTAGCTGAAAATGATGTTTTGGTGCAGGATGCAGAAAAATACCATTACCACCACAATTTGCCACAACTGATGCAGCTGCTTCTGCACTGACCACGGCTTGGCTTCAAGTTTGCCGCAACATGTGCCCTAAAAATGAGTGATTAAAAAGGTAAACGGTGAATTTATACTCAGCTACTAGTGTAATTGCAATTTGGTGTGCAAGTAATATAAGTCTCTTCTAGAAATGTACCTAAAGTGGGCATACTAATGCATAATCTGTCATGGGCAACTTTTTTTCTGCAAGCCAGTACTAACTAAATGACCATTCGCATGATGTAGCTTCCGCTAGTGTTGAAATCTGGGCACCTGCTGTACAGTTTTAGAAGACGTAGCTTCATTTAGGCTTTCTAACATGCATCAATTAAAAAGTGGCTTAAGCTAATGAATGACTACCAACTATAGCAACCAGCTATTTCACCTTCTTATAGCCTTTAAAAAACTGCCACCCTAAATTCAAGATGGGATAAGCACAAGAGAGCAGTATCATGACAATGCGATTGCCACAAACACCCTTACAATTTGAGTACTACTAAATCAGAACTGACAAAAAGCACCGGTGAAGAAAACGGAACATGTGGATGGCATGGACAAACAAGAAGGTCATTAATCTTGACAGTTCGACACGCACGCCTAAGCATGTGAAGTGGAAGGCCTTACAACCTTGCAGTCAGCACCTACTCTCTGTGGACAAGCCAGTGTTTCCCAGTCTCTGTGAACTGATTTTCAGGGCCAATGACAGCGACACTTGATGTGCACCCACTTTCGCCAGCACACCTGAAATGTGGGAAGAAACAAAAGCAAAAATGTAAAATACAGCCCCACTTGTCTACCCTCGCCATTTTCCTGTTTTTAATGCTGTTTTCTTCAAGTTAATTAATATACCAACTAGCCCAATTCAACACACTACTGAATGTAAACCATGTTTGTACCCTGTCACACGTAGCAACTTCAGAGCCCTTTGAATGAGTACACTTCACCGTAAGTGTCATTTGCGGGCTGTCACACGAGAAAGTTTATGTCACTCGCTGCAAAGTACACTTTTTGGCAAGTTCGTTCCCCAACTTTACTTTGCTGCGACAAATTGTGTAACCTCGGTACCAGTGGCTTGTACAGAAATACGCTGTTGCCTAAAGCGGTGCTCATGCTATTTTTAAACCATTGTCAGGGTTACCACTGGTGGGTACTTTTCGCCTGATTGGCGAATTTCAGGGGACCGCGGCGACCTAAAATCGTAATTGGCGACATGGCGATTTTTTAGCGATTTTCAGCTTAGATCTCGACTGAGTTATGCATTCTATTCTGAGTGTCTTCAAAACGACCAGGCGACAACATTTTTTCAATTTTTGTAGTTTTAGACTCACCAGTCGAAGGTAAAATTTACGCGCAATTGAGTACGTCCTGTTCCTCGTGTGTACTTCCTCAACTCACCAAGATCCTTGGGGCACTGGCGCACTGGTGCATCCACCAGCAACCTCCAAGCACAATTAAGGTCAGCGGACTTCTTGCACGTCGTGAGGTGGTGGTAAGTACTAAGTTCTTTAGGGGCTTCAAGAGCTTTTGGCTTCTTTGAAGTCTGGCTTCTGAAGTGGCTAGGTGACATTTAGGTCGCGTGTTCCGACCACTGCTCCAGCTGTTGTAAATAGCTTGTTGACTTCTTCTCTGCTGTAATACCCCCTAATTTTTTATGCAGAGTTAGAACTTTTTATTAACATTCTTTTAATGCCGACCAAGAAGCCCGCTTCTTTAGACAGCCTTCAGAAACTCCACTGATGAGAATATTTAGCATAAGCATGACCGCACGGAAAATGTGATGCATGCATTGCGATAGTTACGCGCTATATACTTTCAAGTTTCTTACCTTTGTTGTGTAATTAAGTTGTTCGATTATCAAACACATGATTGCACTCAATGAAATTCTCGAAATTTCCAAAAAAGCTATACGCACGCCATCCCTCCCTTGTTGTAGCGGCTGCTTCATCCTGCAGTCACCACAACTTAAACTGTCGCAAACATCTCTTATGGGGCGCTAGCGTTCAGGGATGCTGATGGTGCATAGACGCCCTTTCTGAGTACCACCATGTAAAGCGAATGACACAACTGGCATTAAAAATGTCAATATAATTAAAAGGCTATGGATGGTATTGTTCTGCACAGGGCTATACATAATTACAATCTTTATTGCAAGGCACGCCACACATATTTGGAGTGGCGACTTTTTTGGCGAAATTTGAATAAAAATGGCGACTTTTGCCTCGTCATTGCGCAAATTTAACTTGAAAGTCAGTGGCAACCCTGACCATTGTATTCATCATAAAAAATACTGCCATGTATTGAAAAAACAAGTCATAATACAACTTAAAACCTCGCTACTCTCACCCTCGGGCAGTTTGTGGCCATGTCCGCTTGGGGGATGCGGCAGCACATGCTGTACAATGGCTACATCGATCGCATTGTTTACTTCCAGGCACACTTGCACACATGTAGGTGAGTGGTTCTCTATAGTCATATCTGACGGCATCTGCCACTGGTGCTACTTCCACGAAGACAGCGTGGTCCGAGAATGAGACACGGGCGCAAAAATAACAAATATATGTTGTGCTATACAAGTATGCCAATTGCCACTGCTATCATTCGCAAAGTACACTTCCCTTTCTTGTGAGTACACTCGTTCAAAATGCACTTATGTTGCCACGTGGGACAAGGGTATTAAGGTCAACAAATTAGCAGGCAAGCAACAAAAACTGCCTTCTACTTAAATCATTAACCTGCCAGTAGCGTGATCTTAAGAAATGTAGCCATTGTAATCGTAAAAAAAAAACTTCAAACCTCACAAAGCTATCCTTTGTAAACCCATGCTGGAAACTGCTGAATTTGCTTTAAGAACAAGACAAAAAGGCTTCCCTTCCTTGTAGCATCACCATATTCCGTCACAGCCCGCATATGTGCATACAATGCATTTTTGCCAGCTCTATGCACTGACGAGAAGAGAAATAAGCTACCAGCACACTCGAAAATATTTACAGAAATCTCGAAATTGGGATGCCTGTAAATTAAATGCTGTGTTTTACATGGCATAGTACACCTACTTTGCCATAAAATATTACTTCCCACAACTTTACTGAAAGAACACCTGCGATCACATACAGGAAACTTGAGGTGCTGCATTTAGTCAGCAGTGCTAAAATTATATACTTTTTTTTCTATTTCATCATGTCAGCAGCCAATATTTATTTACACACATGATTTAAGCAATTAAGCAATTTTCTTGAAAATCGCTGCAAGATAAATGACCTAATAGGCAAGTGAGATTACTCTATCATTAGACAAAACAATTAAAAACCTGGAAATAATGGATCTAACACATGAGAGTTTTCCCATGGAGCCTCAACCAATGTAAACCAATGCTAAAAGGAAAAAAAAAACGAACAGATTGCTAAGCTTGAAGTAGGGCTCATGTCACGATTGAGTTGCAGGCACTAGTTAGCAATAAATGCCCCGCCGTGGTGGTCTAGTGGCTAAGGTACTCGGCTGCTGACCCGCAGGTTGCGGGATCGAATCCCGGTAGCGGCGGCTGCATTTCCGATGGAGGCAGAAATGCTGTAGGCCCGTGTGCGCAAATTTGGGTGCACGTTAAAGAACCCCAGGTGGTCAAAATTTCCGGAGCCCTCTACTACAACGTCTTTCATAATCACGTGGTGGTTTTGGAACATTAAACCCTACATATCAATCAATCAGTCAGTAATAAATATAGGATGACTAATTATTTCATATTATTAAGCAAACAAAATGTTACTATCCAAATCACGCTTACGTAAAAAAGCTGCTGGTAATATTTCACTTGGTTTGCAGCAATAATAATCTACAGTAGACTCTCAATATTTTAAACTATGATATTTCAATCAAACTTTAAAATCTTCGTATTCACAGTCTAGCACGAAGAATATTAAACCGAGAATACGTGCTGGACCGTGAATACACCTATCCATGGAAGATTCACACTGCCACAAAGTGGCACTATGGGTTAAATGAACATATTACCCTCACATCGATTAATCATTTTTTAGGTTTATAGCTCCTTATACCAGCTTATTTACTCATAACCTAATGTAGATAGCGTAATTAACATATTACCTTCCCAATCATTCATCCTTTCTTAAATTTAATATCTTGTTATATTGGCTTATATGCTCTAAGCTTAATAAATTTTAAGGTGTATCATATTTTACAAGTAATCACTTGCGTTCTACCAAAACTGAAATCTTGCTATCATTGAAAGTTGCTTCCACTTTCACTGAACTGAAAAGAATGACATTGTCACATGCCTTCTTTCTATTTTAAGAGCGAAGCTTTTAGAGCTCAAGGTAAAACGTTGGGTGACCACAAACAAGTCACTGCTTTGCCGTAAAGGCGACGCAATGAACCCAATAGCAACAAACTGGACGTTCACGAGCAGCATGGCAAGCAGATTGAAACGTGCCCCGCATTTCTCATGCACAAATGACACACGAAATGTACTCACAGGTACAGATGAACGCGAATAAATAAGCGTCTCAGTTGTTCCTTTACTGTGTCTGAAAAACGCGCCATTTTCGTAAACAGAGCTTGTGCAACAATTGCAGTGACCTTTGTGCGCCCAGTAACTACAACAGAATCATTCCAGTGAAAGCCCACGGCCAGCCAAGACGTATTATTGTCCCCACCGCGAGATAAACGCACTCGTGAGTGTCCACCCTACCCCCTCTTCGCGGGGCAAAGTATGCATAGGAAATGAGATCGCGCGCCGCCGCGTCATGACGATGTGGGACGCGCCGCTCATTGCGCCATCTTGCTGGTAATGCTGAAAACACGATAGTTCCCACCGAGATACCCGTCACCAGCGGTATGTGGTAGATATATATAGGTTTCCGTTTTGAACGTTGACTGAGGTGCTTCTCCATGGCTCAGTGGCTAACGCCTTACACTCACGATTCAGAGGTCCCACATTCGATTCCGCACACCGGAACCTTTTTCCGCATTATTTTTCTTTCTTGCCTTTTCATATATATATAAATACGTAAACATATACGGTGAGTGACGGCGTTGCCGATGTCGACGCCGGTGCCAAATCCATCCGAGAGTATCCATATAATTGCTATCGCAATAAAAAGCCCTGTGTGCTATTGCTTATCAGCCATGCCCATCGACGGAGACAGTTTGTGCAGCCACAGCATGAAGTTTGCCCACCACGCAAGCAAAGTACAGACAATAAAAGGCCTACACTTCTACCGGAGGTGCCACAGCCAGCTTTGAACGCTAGCTTCGGTGCCGGAGTTTGGACAGCCTTGCACGGTCTGTGACAGGTTTGACTCCACTTTGTCTACACTAAGGGAAGGCCTAGCATCAGCCAAGAAGGCCATGTAAGCCCTTAAGGTCAACCACCTTCACTGTTGCTTATGGGGAGACACGAGTCTTAGAAGGCCGAAAATCGTGAAAAAATCGACTTTTTGAAGCTAACATTTTCGGAATCTGTACCTATTTATGCACTTATCCGGGAAGTTTCTAGCTTCTCGCGTCATTAATTCTGGTGTGAAATCAATTTATGACACCCCTGTGAGATGAATGTGAGTGCAAATAGACGCTAAAATCGCGCTTTATCCACGCCGAACCGTTGCCAGTACACACGAGCTATCGTGATCATCTTGGTCTCATTTGTAAGGGTCGTTCTTCATCTCCAATTTCTCACCACCGCTGGTTGGCCTTGCTCATTGGTTTTTCAGCAAAAACACGTCTTCGAGAAGCACCAGCACGAAATTTTATTGGCTGCTTGGGGCACGTAACAAAACCTAGGCATCGGATAGGCCAAGTGGCGTTTCCGGTGTCTGCTTCACCATCGTGACGCGCACAGACATGCGCCATTTTGTCATGGTGCTGTCGACTGTTTACTGCAGTAAAGAATTTCCGTGCCACACTAATTTGTGACGCGGGTGTGGCGATCGTTCGTTTGTATTGAACTTCAGAAAAAGCCTCACTATGGCTCAGGACAACGAAGATAACGAACTCGCGGCAGTCAACGGCGGTCGCCGAGTCACCGGTGTAGGCCTAGCTCCCGTACGAGCCCGTCGGTTGCCGACAACATCACTGAAAGCTGCTGTGTTTTGCAGCCTCATCAGTTAGAAGACGACAAGTAAAAAGCCCAGGTGAAGCTACAAGAGCTATGAATCTTTGCAGCAACAGATTGGAAGCGCAGTCTTATCGCTAAACGTGCTGATGCCACGGTCCTCCGCACCTGACGAAACGACCTCGCTTGTGCGTAAACTGCGTGACGAGTTGTCTGAGTGGAGTAGGGCACGCGTCGATGAACAGCAGAAAATGAATCTGTTCGTGGTGAACGAGCTCGCCGCCCAGGCAATGGAGGCTACTGGCAATAGGTAGACTGCTATTAACGACGTGTTCGCAAAGATGTCGCGGTCTCCACTCGAAAATGCGACAGTCTTACGTGAAAACAAAACTAACACGATCAGCACTCATGTAGCCTCAAAATTATGAACGAGTGCACAAATTCAGTTTGCGACATTTACGTGTAACTCATTCTGGACAAGCCGGAAAACATCGCCGTGTCATTCGGCTAATCGCAAATGACGCGTGCACATTCGTCGCACATCGGCGTCGGTACCATCACTTAACAGATGAGCGGCCTTGTCGGCAGACGAGCACACGGTGACAACTTCCAGCAGGACTTGAAGAAATGACGCGCTCATGCGAACAATCAGTCCGATTACACACCCGGAGCATATTAACTGAGTAAAAGTATGTTTGCCATGATTTTTTTCACTCAAAACGGCAAAAGTTTTAACAGTATTTTTTTCGAAACATAGATTTTGACCAATTTCCTTGTTTGCTTGTTCTGTAAATGTGGACCTAGGACAACTAGAGCTGTAATTATTGTTATACAAAGTCACTAAATGTGCAAAAGAAATTACACTGAGAGAAGATTTTTAATGTGCTACTCCAATTCTTTTTATGTTAATATAAAATATTTTGTTCTTGCTTATATGCAATGAACTTTATTGTGCTGTAATTCAAGAAGTATTTGTTCAACTTTCGATCATCTTGCAGCATTGCACTCCTTAGGCTTTCTCGTATGCATATATATGTTAATGACTATGTAATTGTAAGTACATGCATTTTTACAGTTAGAAATGTTAGAATTCTTTGTTTTCTTGATTTTCTCAAAATGGCAATTTCGTACACCGTGTTAGACAATTACTGCAATATATCGGAAACTATTACAGATGGCAGAATAATTCTTTTTGCAGCATGAAGCTATATGTTTGGAGCACACAACATAGGAAGTAGATTTTGATTTCCCTTGATGAAAGTTTTTGAAATTATTCTTTTGTGTGACCACACCATGGCCATATTCAGAGCTATGAAGTTTAGTGTACTGTAATGTAAGAAATAATGACCCAAATCAAAAAAGTGCTTCCTATGTTGTGTGTCGTATGCTTTCTACTATTAATCCCTATGTCAATTGTAAACTTTTGATTGGTGGTTATTTTTATATTGTGGTAAGAACAATAGAGATTGCTATCTTTATTATTTATAGAACTAATGACACTACAGAGAAAAAAATACATTTTTAGAATCAGAAGAACAAACTGAGTAAGCATGCCAACTCTCATCATATTCGGTTAAAAAATAGATGAGATATCCCATGGACCTATGTCTCTCCTAAACTTTACACGGCTGGTGTAAACATTTGGAAAAAGATACGGTGCAGGATAGTTGGGTCATGACAAATATGCTCATTCTTCTTTATAATATGAGATATATGCTACTCAAATTCAATTCAAAATTATTGGACCAAATCACTATTCGCTTCGATTTCACTTGGGACCTAAATTCACTATTCGCACAAACCTAGTCAACTCATACCTGATTCTCTACATTCTTTTGGCACTATTGCTCAACTAACAAAGTGACCACTTATTGTGCACAATGTTTCTTACATTAACACGAGGGCAACAACTATTTTTTTTAACTAACAAACTGAGCACTGTGAATTTGATGTACTGTTGACAATCTTAAACATATAGAGTATACAACTGAAATACTATGCAATTATCTCCCCTTCACTGGCTGCTACTCTTGACACAGCATACCAACTAATGAGCAGGATGAGCGTAAGTTATATTTTGCAATTAACTGCCAAGGCCCCGATAAAGAGTCATAAACTAATCTTGAGATCCTTTCTAATGATCCATTTCATTACAGAACATTCTTTAGACACCGTGACACAAGCTCTGAAGAAGCCATGCTGCTATTACAGTCAAGATTGATGACTTGGTGCAATATATGATAAGAAAAATGGAAGACTAATGTGATTGCTACAGAATACAGTCCACATAGTTGGTTCTCTTTCGATTGGCCTGTCATGCAACATTACACTTGCTAGGTCACAAAATAAAAAAAAGAGTCAGATCCCATAAATAGGAAAACTTACTTGTAACACCAGATTACCAGAGAAAAAACTAAAAAACCAGTTCAGGAATCACTCATGCTAGCTATGTAGAGAAGTCAGTCAATTGTAAATAACCATAGACAATGCAAGCCAGTAACGGAGACCTCATGTCTTCACACACCTATTGACTGCTGAGATGATTTCATCCTTGCTGCAGGCGAATATCCTCTGCCGGTGCTCTTGCCTCATCTCGTCTGTCACTCCATGCAGGAATGTTGCGGCCCCACGGTCACCTGGAGTGATAGGCTTGTCAACCTGCACTCCACAAGATGGCACCACTTAGGCACAAAACAGAGAGAAGTCACGCTATTAAAGTTCAAGCCCAAGCATATTACTAGATGAAAATGTGCCTCACAAGCTGGTTTCCATCAAACACAGCATGCAGATACAATGGTAAAGAAGAAGAAACAGTGCAAAAAAAAAAAGATATTGAAGAAACACAATACGAAAAAGGGATGACAACAATTCTTGTCCCTTCTTTGTCTTGTGTTCATAAAAGCCACTATTTCAGCGCTTTAACTTATCATACTTTGATGAATAAAACTCCGGGGAGAACAATAAACTTGCACAAAAATATTTCACAAGTACTCAGGAATGCACTTATGCAAAAAGAATGTGAACAGTGTATATCCTTGAAAAAAATATTTTTATTAGTTGGGTTAAAACTGAATGAAATTTATTACACTTGCTAAGTTTTTTTCTGCATATTCCAAATTTTCAAGTGATCTTTATTGTCTGCATAAACAAAAGATTTGCAATTTTTGAGAGCATATTGCTCATAGTGCTCTTTGGCAACTTTGTTATTGTTGATTTGTTAAATAGAAAAACAAAACATGTGGCAAGACTACCAGAGAGTTGGTCTAGCCAATTATGCTAATCTGATTGTTTTTGTTGAACTTCAAAGGCAACATAAACTAATGCACATAAGAGTAAAAATTTTTCGCTTCACACACATTCCGATTATCGAGAATTGCAATTTGGTAAACAACATTATAACAAATCGGCTAGACCAGCTTTTTGGCAATCTTGCTGCACATACTTAGTTTTTCTGTTTGACAAAGTAAAGTTGCCGAAAATCCCCATATGATTTATTCTAGAAATTCTTGTTGAAATTGCTTATCTTTTGTTCTAATGCAGCTACTACTAATGTACTAATTGATTTGGAATCTGCAGAAAAAAGCTGAATAAATGAATAAAATTTCATTTTGCTCACCCAACTATTAAAAAAACACCTTTTCAAGACCAACGTCTCCCCTTCATTCCTCCTTGTTCTCCCCTTTTCACAGGTTTGTCATACCGACTAGCCTTGTAAGTCCCTATCTTAAAGTTCACGGGCTTTCAAGACAGATACGCCATACCCCAGTGATCTGCAAGCTAGGTTTAATGAAGAAAGCCCCCCTCTCCCCTTACTGGTTTACTCTTGCAACCTCTGATATAACTTGACATTCACCAGTACACACAATGGAGTCGGTGTAAGGGCTGGTTCACACCATCGACTAGCACCAGTCGCGCGACCAAGTTGGTCGCTTTGCGACTGGGCGCAAACGGTCGCATCAGTCGCTAAGCGACTGCTTTGGCTAGTCACTTTTTGACCAATTTTTCATTCGCGCCACTGCAGTCGACAAACTGCTGGAACCAATCAGGGAAGACCAGAAAAGACATCAGCATTCATTTATATACTGGCTCATTGCCTCTTATTTTTTTGTAAATTGCACTCGCCCCCTGCCTTGAAATACAAATGAGTCTGGTACTCTGCTGCGCCCCGCCATCTACAAGCCGAGTACTCCATGATGGCACCATGGCCACTATGGAGTACTCGGCTTGTAGATGGCGAGGCGCAGCAGCTTGAGAAAAGCACTGAATACTCGTGGCGGCATTTGCGGGATGCTAAACACATCGAAAGAAAGAGAAAATGGATTGTCCACTATCTTACAGGAATGCCAAACAACAAGAAACATAATTTCGGAAATACTCCTCATCGTGTGAGCGCAGGTCGAGAAGCAGGGGGCTTGCGTGGTCAGCCCCCTCTCGCAAGCACTTTCTTTTGTCACATACGAGCGTTAAAACAGCCATGTGCAGCTGCATCCATCAGCCCCCTCTCGCAAGCACTTCCTTTTGTCACATACGAGCGTTAAAACAGGCATGCGCAGCTGCATCCAGACGACAACTTCAAGCCACCGCATCCACCATTCCACCTCAACAGGTGCACGCCACCGAAAAACGAAAAAAACTGTCAAAAGGTGCCCAGGGCGTGCCTTACCCTCTACCACAGCCTCTAGGTCTCTACATACACGACAGCGCAATGCCTGCGTAGATCGGTAGAGTTGCAGACATCTGTTTCTGGGCTACCTGTTTCCACGGATGGACTGGCGAGACGAAACCATTTACTTTAGGTGTGGCTGTGGCATGTGCTACATACCGGATAATCGCTTGGAATGTTCGCGAAATGGCGAAACCTGTAGAGATCCAAATGAGAGGTGGCAGAAGGTAGGACGGGTAGCTGAACACGGCCAAGAAGTTATGATGTTTGAGCGGAACGAGTGGGTCATGTTGTGCGGTCAGTCAATCTTGGCAGAATCGAGTGACGATGCCTCGAGTGCATTCTTTTAAAGAGTGTCACTGGGATGACGATTAGAGCTGGAGCTTGTTTCAGTGTTTCTTGAAAGATAAATATTCTAGAATGATTCAAAGAATTTCGGACTACACAATTATGGTGAATATTCGAGGCCTCAAAGTGTTCTTGTACAGTTTGTAATGCATGAGATTGCGTTTGCAGCGTGGTAGGTTTCTTCTCGTTGTTTCAAATTCCCTCTAGGTGATTTTGTAAGTTGTAATTGATATCCCTGGGTGCAAGTTAACGCATTTTGTTTGTGTAGTATACTCTTCGCTTTAGCTCGGTCTTTGGACCTCAGCCAGCATTGCTGGCGCACAAAAAGGACCTAGATTTAAATTGTGCATGGTTTCGTGGTGTGTTTCAATGGACCGATGCGTCAGCCCTTGGAATCTGCCCGGCAACTGCCTCCCCATTAACAGGATCAGTGACACTTCAGGTGAGTTATACGGGCAGCATTCATAAAGAGGATTGAGGCCCACTCTATGAGAAATTGGCACTACTTGGGCAAATTGTTCACATATGTGGTGCAACAGATACTTCTAATAACGATTTCAGTATCGAACCTGTGATGTGCAACCAGAAAACATGTTATTTACAGCCTGAGCAGAATCACTGTCGCCCATACGAATGTGTGTGGGAGCGCTTTTCCGGAGACGAGATTCAGGTCAACTGAATCCGAGTGAGTGAGTGACAACTTTATTTGAGTAACAACGTTAATTAGGTCCGAGACGCCACTTCAGTGGCAATAAAGAAGCCGCACCTTCTTTTTTTATCCAGCAGTCGTGTCAGTAACAAGACACTCTTGTCTTCTTCGCTCGAATCGAAGTCCTTGACGCTGCTGGGAATGGTGCGTGAAAGCGGCCGTCGAGAACAATAAATGTGCTGTGCTCAGCAAGCTACGCTCATTCGGCTGGCGGTGATCAGCTAATCGCCGCCAGCCTCCAAAGTTTTCGCTGATAACGATATCTGGACTGACTTTTTGGGTTTGCGACTTCCCGTCGCTCGCATGCAGCCTCTGCCGATGTGAACGTCAATCTCTTTTTGGTCGCCAATCACACATGGTCGCGCGACTAATGCTAGTCAGCGGTGTGAACCAACCTCAACTCGTGGATTTCAAAAATATGAAGGCTTCAGTGGTAGTAGGAAGTGCAAATGTGAAGGGCATTTAAGGTGGAACCCGGGTTTTAGAACGGTCAAAAATGATAAAAAAGTAATTTTTTGCAAAGCTTATTTTAGGGGCATTTGTACTTCTGAGCAACTACTCTCAAATTGCTAATGCTGTATTCGGTAGGGAAACGCAATAAAATCGGCCTTCAATGCACCCCGGTCGCACTAAAATGCCCTCAAAAGGACGAAATTTGTTCGCACTTCCCGCACGCTAAATGTGTGTTACAGCGGACCGAGTGCCGCCATCTTGGGCTTAATTTGAAGCCGTTTTTTTTGTGCACATTTTGCACCATCTCAAAATGATGTCGCTCAAGCAGAATAGTTGCCGTCATGGGTTTTCTGAAGGTCGTTTCGAGATAGCGGATTGGCTCCCACGCGGCGCGCCTTTCAGAGTCTCTCATTGTCCGTTTGTGTGAGTTTGCTTTTACGATCGGGCGTGTTTTTGGATGCACCGTGTTTCCGCTTTGCACTGGTACTTTCTCACTGCGATCGAGATGCTTGGATACTCTCGTCTGAAACCATCAACGCGACGAGTTTTTGAAAGCCGTAAAAAACGGCCTTGGAACAAGAAGGCGCCAGCTACAAGTGAGCCTACGGCAGCTGAGTTGAAGTCGCAGCCGGACCCGTTGGATCTGCAGAAAACTTTAACGACGCTGTCTACTGACGACGCCGTGGAACCAAGTTCGACGTGCGATACACTTCGGATTGATGCTGCATACTACTCAACGGCAGAGCAGGCGCAGCAAGTTGAGAAATCGGCGCAAACTAGGACCGTTTTGTCGGGGAAGTCGGCTACCTAGCGAAAGTTCGACCTCCTTGGAGTCACCGCTTATAGCCTTCGCCATCCAATTTTCGGCAGCCTCTACACAGCCAACTAGCTCGGAGTTGACGCAAGCACTGATGACACTGTTATTGGTGAACAGCGACAGCATGACGTGAAGCTGAAATTGAGGCAGACATTATAGCGGGCAAGCAGAATGCCGTGCAAAAGAAAATAGGAGACTTTTTTGGGCCAACATGTTGACCACTGAGGTAGCACTGGCCACATCGATTTTTTAAAAAAATAAACGACTCTTTCAGAGTCGCCTCAATGATGCATTTGCAAGATTGCAGCGAGAATTTTGTATTGTACTCCTGCCGTGACACTCTCCGTCAGCAAAAAACACCTGTAAAAAAGGTACATTTTTACATGCATTCAATTTTCCAGACATTTTCACGATCCTTCGAGTTTCCGAGAAATCAGAACATCGACTGTATATTCTACTGGCTCAGCAACTTATTACCTAGGGCAGCATGCTGCGTAACAGCTAGTCGTTCGAGCCTCATTCCTCATGGCTTTTCCAGAACCCATCAACAGTTTTATCATAGTGGGGTTCTTATAATGCTCTACACCAGTGGTTCTCAAATGGGGGTCTGCGGACCCCCTAGGGTCCGCGAAGCCATTTCAATGATTTGCGAAACCCTCACCCGCATTTTTCCTTAAGCGTGACTATGCCACGTATTGATGAACTGTCCAAAATGAAGTGATGTGGCAAGTTTATTTGTTGTTTTTTTGGTAGCAATAAAAGGTAGGCTTATACGAATATTCGAATAATAATATTCAAACCCATAGTAGAGTATTACCTTCAATTAGAATTTATATTATTGAAAATTTCGAAGTATTCGCAATGAACGAATAGATGTATATTAATCCGCATGTAATGGCTTGTAAAGATGGTTTTGCTGCAGTGTCAGAGTGCTAAGCCGTGAAAGCACCCATCCAAGGAAATCCGCTTCGCCGCGAAGGCCCCCTGCAAATTTAATGGACCCTGCAACATTTTTTAGCATAGTCAGAAAACGCTCCCGATCGGTAGTCGAGGCTTCCAAGAACACGCGAGCCAAATATATGGCGCAGCACACGACCTGCGATTCACAGTAAATTCTCAAACCCAGCTGAAAATTGCTCTCTTCTCTCGACAAATGACATCCCGAGCTCAAAAACCACTCGTCACAGCTATTGCATCAGCCATTGGCTGATTTAACATGGCGCGCTCGGTCGTCACTGGAGCCGCAGCGGGAGGCCACGTGTCCAGGCGTGCGGGCGCGGTCACACTGAAAAGCCGCGTATTCTAAGAAAAAAGAAAAATGAGGTGCTCAAGTTCACGAGGTGCGTGTGACGTAGTTTCTTTCACCGCACCATTCCTGCCTGCTTAGCTTCCAGCTATTTCGTCGGGACGAAAAGAGAGAATAAATTGCAGCGTGCGACTAATTTTCGGAACTCCGCCACTCGTACTAGACTGTTTCTGAAAATTTTGCGGCAACAAATTGAGAGGCAACAAGCTTCTTTACTGGCTCCATGGCTACTTGAAAAAGTGTTGCAGGGCCCCTTTAAATGAACATGTTACCCTCAAATCAATTCATCATTTTATTAAGCTTAAAAGCTTGTGAAGACAACTTATGTGCTCTAAGTATAATAAAATTTAAAATGTTACCTATCTCACAGGTTATCACTCCCATCCTACCGAAACTGATATCCCGCTACTACTCAAAGTTGTTTCGACTTCATGTGAACGAAAAAAAAAAAGACATTTGCATAGAGGCCTTATTTCAATATAAAATATATTGTGCTGGTTAGTTAGGTCATGATAAATATGCCCATTTTTCTTTGTATGTCATATATACTATTCAAATTCGAACCTAAAATTCACTATTCGCACAAGCCCAATAAAAGGCACCTGTTTCACGTTCCAGTTGAGTTAATTTTCCTACGTACCCCCCCCCCCCCCCCTCCTCCATACACTCCGCTGCAAGGGGTCCTCCATCCCTTCCACCAGTCCCCAAGGCGTCCCCTACACATCCATGGCTGAGAACCACTGCTCTACACATTACAAAAACTTTTTAAAAATTATTCCTAGGGTGGAATAAGGGGCATTTTCTTTTGTTTTGCAGGGCAACAGATGGGGAACATGTGTATAAAATTTGTGGTTAAAGTTCCTTATAGAAACTTTCCAGTGCATGTCGAAACTTCAAATGCGATTTTCTCAGCTTCACACTTTTTGCCAACCTGACCAGCCTTACGGAACTTTTCATCATGTTTTGCGAAGTAACTTTTGAAAATTTTGTACCGTTGAACTCGTAAGAAACAGGACTGTGGAGTTATGCTATTTTTTTGTGGTTTAGAGAGACATATGAAATGTTATGATCAATAATTTGAGCTATTTAGCTTTCAAAATTGTGTAGCATCAATGCAAATGAGAATTTTTATATGATAATGTATCTCAGTGACAATATAAATAGCAAAGTTCCACGTGGCAGGTTTTTGGCTATAGCTGCATCTTAAACATAACCTAAAAATATTGAGGGAAAGTGTCTTAACAATCGTTAACAAATGACATAATTAAACTTCACTTATGCTCTCACAATTTGATAACTAATTGGTGTACATTAAAACTAATTACATTTTTGAAAAGAGGAGAAATAAATACATATACACCACCTAATTTCATTACAATATCTTCAATAATAAAAACTACGTTTCTCTACTTTCATGACAAAAATAACAAGTTGTTAAACTCAAAGTAGGTTAAAATAACTTTTAAAAAACACAAGACAGCAACGAAAAACTAAAAAGAGCTCATTGTCTAGAGTCCCCTGGAAATCGCCACCTGGCTGCTTGCCATTGCATTTTACAAGAGGAGTTCACCACCAAAGCAACATGCACAAATTAACCATGATTGCAAAGTGCTCATAATGGAAGAAATTATTTTAAAAAGCCATCCTTGCCACACAGATGAGATTTCACTTATGCGTTTAAAATGTGTTTTCCTCTAGATGCAATTTCGAGCAACTTCTTGAGTTTGGACATCATTTTAGGTACTACTTCTGATGGCCAGATTAACATAAAGTTTTTGCCACAGATTCCTTAACACGTGAAGAGTTCAAATGTCTCTCTAAAAGCAATATATCATTTATATTGTTATTATGAACTTAAAGTAAGCAATTAGTATGGGTAGAGAATTTACCACTTTTCATGTTACAAATGTTCTTATTCATTTAATTGAATTATACACACTTTCTTCATAGTTATTTACATTCTACAGTTAACGACTCATAATTATAGAAGTTTAATGACAGAAAGATCATCTAATGAAGAGCTATATTTTACACATTGTCATAGTTCAAAACAAAAACTATGCAACTTACTATAAAATTGATTGGACATTTCAAGTCAGCATAAAAACTTATGTAAAGAACAAAAATATTATTGCCTTAGGCAAGATATTAAATAAGCTGTTCCTTTGAATTGCATATTCCCTTAAGTTGCACAATGCCATCATGCATGCTCACCTTTGCAAAGCAGGACAGCTTTGATTCTTCCAGATCCTCTTCAGTAAACACTCCTTTTGTGAGCCATGCAACTGAGTCGCAAAATACATCCAACGTTTTCTCCATGTTTGGGTCCCTTGGAAAAAAAAAGTAAGCCCTCTCTTTAGCAAATAGACAAGAACATGAATAGCCCAAACTTGAACCTCATAAAACTTAGTAAATAAAAGAAATAGCTTGCGAGACTACCTGTATGAATAAAAGCTGAGGCATCCACCAGGTCGAACAACCGCCCCCACTCCATAAGCACCACCTTTTTCCCTAAAAAAAAAAAACGAAGAATATGTTCTGTGAGCAGAGTAAGATATACACAATGACTCAGAATACAATGTCAATATTGAAAAAGAATAACCAGCAAAAGCAGCACTCGCAAAAATGGGTTCACTCAGTAAAGTCAGTATTACTTTCATTGCAGTACTGGAGCCCCACATGTGTCGCTATCCACTATTCCATTTACACCATTATCATTCCCTCGTACACTGACACATTTAACCGTACCATGGTAAAAAATTATGCACAAAGATCCCGCCTCTCCTGGTATGCACAATCCAGTACAGCTCCCCTATGGTTACAACAAAGGAACTACTGTTAGCTGTTCTTACTTACACTAAACATGCCGGTCTCCTAGGGCACATCAAAGCAAACCATCTACCCTTTGCGCAGACACCCGAGCTGTCCCGCCAGCCGGGAAGGCTCCCCACCAATCCCACCCACATACTTAGAAATTTCTCTAAAGATACCCATCGAAGATGAGAAAAGCCCCACAAGTTATTGAGCCACAAGTTATTGAGCCACAAGTTACTGAGCCACAAGCAAAGGGTCACCTCTCCACATCACACAAACCGGTAAATTCCCAACTGTATCGAAGTGCCTTCCATGTATGAAATGTTTCCACTCTCAATGCCAGTGCTTTGGAGTTCAAACTATGACTAGATTACAAATATGTTTCCCTTTTTTTGCTATCACACTTAACAATGTGCATACAAAAAAGAGGGAGAGAGACTGCAAGATAAAGATTTTCCGCCTGATACATCTGCACAGCAAATTGAAGTTCAATATATAACAAATTTAAAAGGTTTATGAACCATCCCTCGTGCTAGATAAGAAAACAAATCCAGTGTATAGCAGACAGAGCCATGAACAGCTAAGCCAAATCTTGCAGTCGTGCAAGGCAAAGAGAGTTTACAAGCCAAGCACGAAGTTGTCATTTTCTCAGGTGCCCTCTTTTCTTAGGCCTGGGCTCACTCTCTTCAGAGCTGCCGTGTGCCTTCACTTTCATGTCAAACAGCATACATACAAATGTATGCCGTTTGACATACAAATACAAATAGCCCACATAAAAATAGCATACAAATACAATAGCAAGCATACAAATAGCCCACATAAATTAAGAGCAGTGTTTGGATCAGATGTGCTTCTTGCCACAGGGTGCTGCCACATGCCAGCGCCACACTAAATAATCTAACATTATAAAGTAATCCACACTCACATGCAGCAATCTAACGAGAGAGCAATCGAGTTTATTATGCACGCTGAAGGTCATGTGCGCCAATGTAACTTGTTTCATGCTTGCCATCCCTCTCTGCATAGCTTCTAGCATGCTCGTCAGGGCAAGAGTTAAAGCTCTTGACAAAACCCTGTAACTACACTCATTCTAGATGACTTCGATAAATTGATCTCGCAATGAATTTGTGGTAAAAGTTTGATACTGGGGTCATTCGATTACTACGTAGATAAGTGATTCAGGGCTTCTTTAATACTTGGCACCAACATCAAAAGAAGTGGCTTTTGGTGTTTTCGAGCAGAAAAAGTTTTCATTTCCAAAGGAAAGCATCATCTGTAGCAAAACACACTGCTCACACACAAGGTAGCAAGATGTGCATTCATTATGACTGAAACAAATCTATGGATTTGAAAAAAAATATTTGCATCTATTAGTTATTACACAAAGCAATCATCTAATTTATTAAATAAAAAAATAAAAACATTTCAAGCCCACTGAAGCTTTTTTAAACGCCATATTTGTGCCATAAGGTAACATTAGCACAGTTATTTCAATCACTGTTTCATATCCAAGTGATGCATATACTACAGCAAGTAGACTCTCAAGAAATGTAAATCTGTTAAACAGAGCTGCTGCTTAAATGGAACAACTGCATCTGATATGATTGGTATCCTATTGGTATTTTGCAGCCTTATTCATCCCTCAGTAAACAGAACTCCTGCTAAACGAAACAGGTTTTACTGGTCCCTTCAGATTATGTTTAATGAGAGTGTGCTGTATATCACATGAGCCTTTAGAATGAAAAAAAATTACTTAAACACGAAAAACAAGTTGAAACATTACAGTGAGATAAATATACAGGCAATATTGCAGTGAAACTGAAGCTGGCCAAATAAATTTATTCTAGTTGCACGAAAAAAATTAAAATTATATTTCAGAAAATACACAAAGTGTATATAATATACGAATCAGGAAGACCTTGGCGAGGCAGTACTCGAGTTAGTATGACTGAGTAGAAGAATAAAAAGGCAAGAACACTATTCCTCACAGACATAGAACCAATAGTAACTTCATGTGAACTTCTTGCACTGACTTAGTCTAAAACGAGATTACAGCAGGGCAGACAAAGGACAAGAAAGGGAACAACGACACCGCTTGCTTTTCTTCCCTTACATGTGCTTTGTCCTCTCTGTGCTGGTTGCTGAAAATGAATTATACACTAGCCCAATCTCCAACAATAAACTACCATATGTCGTCATACATGACCGCAGTCCAGAAATGCAACAGCCAATATTCAATTTGGAGCAATTTTTGGAGCAGCAAATTATTACTCTTGGAGCACTAAAATTCAAATTTGGAGCAAGGTACGAGAAAACGAAAAAATTATCAAAGACCAAATTGGTAGCGTTTTAAAAAAGAAGGCTTACATTTAGAAAAAAAAATTTATGCATAATACATTCGGTCCCCGTGGATTGTGCAGACTGAACAAGCACTGCTATATCAATAAAAATAGTGTTCCGAATTACCCCATTGAGCAAACAATGATGGAGTCCGCATTAGCATTTGCTGCGCCTGTTGAACCCTTTGACACATTCTGTGAATTCAGATGGGGCTCTACCAAGCTGACGAGATTGAAATTCGGGAAATTCGTCAAACCGAGAAGTAGGGGTGGCAAAAAAGAAAAAAAAGTAGGACGCACAAGTTAAATTACTTTTTTTATTTTAGGGTGACACAAATGCAAATCGCTGCTCCAAATAATTGCCAGTAACTTTATTAGACATAAGTGATCATAGTAGTACTCCATTATACTGTGCATACATGCATGAGTAATTGAACAGAATTAGGGTTGGCACCTTTCCCAGAAAAAAAAAAAAAAAAAAAACGGCCTGTCAGCAGGGGCGTCACGAAAATGAGGTTGTGTGGAAATAAACAAAGTCCATGTTAAATCTTCGACACGCGAAGACATTTATTGTACCCGCCTTCAACATCAATATAATATGTCCACGTACATAGAAACAAAGCACTGAGCGAATCAATTAGTCTCTGGTGGCAAGCGCACAAATATCACGAGTCTCACAATGTTTGCACTCAAAACGAGCAAATTATTACGTATGCTGAAGAAAATATTTGCCGCCGAGGTTTTCAGCGAAACTAAAAAATTGGGTGCTGAAATCTGTGGACACAACCTTCATTTCAGACAGAAACTTGCAGAAAATGATTAATTTAATGCGTTTTTCACAAACCACCACACCTTGAACTAGTGTGCCTTCAACTTCTTTGAATGGGTGTGCCTGGAACAGGCGTGCAAATAATGCCATTCCGTCGCCCGTGTCTCTCAACCCGTTGGCAAAATGAATTCTGGTGAAAGCGAACCTGTCAACAGCCAGGACATACAGCTGTGGATGATGAAGCAGTGGCCAGAAATCTCCGCAAAGTTTTCTCCCATGGAGATCATCAATGCCTGGCAAGACATGAAGACGGACACAGTGGTCAACTGCTTCTACAAGGCAGACTTTGAGACAGCGTAACCAGTGAAGACGACGACGAGGAGAAAGAAAACTAGTGAAGACGACGACAAGCGCATAGAAGACTCGTTTCACGAGTTGTCGTCCCGCTCTCCGGCAGCAGTTCCACACAAAGTGTCTCTGTAGAAGCAGACATTGTGGAAGTGGACTGCAATGTCCAGGCCGTTGCGAACCTCGCTGACAAGGATGTAGTAGCTGCGGTCACAGAGACCTAGGATGCCCAGGCCGACAGCTCAAGTGATAAGGAGGATGGTCCGGACGAGGCGCTAACTACACACGCGTACTTCGCCGCTGAAGTAGCGGCAGCGTTCGGCGTCATTTTTCGTTGTATCGGTGACATGGAGGGAACCGAACTATCGCACCTAGACAGCCTTGATAAAATCGAGACTAGCATCTTCATCTTTATTTCAAAAATGAAGAAGCAGGCCAAGATAAGTGATTTTTTTCATGCAAATACCCCATTCTGTTGCGGTTTGTGTGCGACATTAGTTGTCATTCTTGAATGCGCCTATTGTAGATGATGATCCGCTACAGGTACGCTCTCAGGGCCTCTATTTTTTTTATATCGAATTTTCTGTATATCGAACTGATTCGCGATCCTCTTCGAATTCGATATATCCCTGTTCGTCTGTACAGCTGAAGCTTGCACACCGTGTGTTTAAGCTTAATAGCTTTTATCTCTGTCCAAGAAAACCAAACTACTACATGTGCCCATCACATGAACAATGACACATACAGTCAAATCTTGATAATTCGAACTTGAAGGGGCCCGAAAATGTGTTCGAATTAAAAGAAGTTCGAATTAATGAAAGCTAAGTAAACGGAGGGCTCCCCATGCAGTGGCGCATGTGCACTGAGCTAACACACGAGGGGGAAGTTTCAGAAGACTTAGATTTCACAAATCACAAGACATCCGTCATTAATCGAAGTAATCGTTGATGCACGTCTACACACATTTGCCTTGAAGCAAGTCAATCAATTTCGCATGCAGCTTGCAAAGCATGTCTACTTTGGCTTCAGCATTCTCCTGGCCAGAGAAGTTACGTGTGGCAATGTCTAGCGCCACACTCTCTGAAGACAACGACAACGACTGCATCTTCGCTACTTCCCTGTGTGCCAAAGCTACAGCCTGGCCAGCACGTGACGAGAAAGGAGGAGCGTCTCCACGCAGAGATACCGTAATTACTCGAATCTAACGCGCACCTTTTTTCCGATTAAGCGAGTTCATAAATAGCATGCACAATAGAATCGAGTAAAAAAAAATGAATACGGTCATTCTATTACCATCGGCATTTCCGAAATGGCCGCCCCCTACGTGCGTCGGCATGGTGCGTCGGCCATTTCTGCCTATGTGTTTCCCATGTGCGGCACTTCGTACACGTGCTGAGGAGTTCGTCATCTTGTAGTGCGTTAGCATCGACGGCATGCAAGGGCCGCCTCTAAAAACTCGAGTGCACCACGATGCCGCTTTTAAAAGAAAAGTCATCGGGTGTGCAGAAACGGACGGAAATCGGGCCGCATGGCGGTCGTTCGGAGTTCCCGAAACGTGCGTGCGGGACTGGCAGAAACAAAAGCAGAAGATTGCCGACAGCAAAGCTTCACGCAAAGGCTTCAGTGGACCACAGCAGGGTCGGTTTCCGCAAGTTGAAGAGCTGCTCGGCGAGTATGTGCTTGAGCAGCGAGCGGCACAGCGGCCCGTGACAACAGAACTGCTCCAAGTGCGAACTATGCAATTAGCCTTATAAAAAGGTCTAACGTGGAGCCAGTTCAAAGCGAGCAGGTGCTGGCTAACTAACTTTATGAAGAGGAAAGGCTTTTCCCACCGAAGGTGAACGGGCATATGCGAAAAGTTTTGCGGAGGAGTACGATGAAAAGCTTCACAGTTTTCAGAGGTTTGTCCTAAACTTGCGGCACAACAACGGCTACCTGCTTGGGCAAATCGCGAATGCCGATTAGACGCCTATTTACTTCGATATGCCTGGCACCACAACCGTCGAGAAGAAGGGGGCGAAGCAAGTTCGCGTGCTGACATCGGTCCACGGTAAAACTACAGTGACGGCAATGCTCTGTTACACGTCAGATGGGCACAAGCTTTCCCCGTACCTCTTATTTAAATGGAAGACACTCTCGAAAGGAGTTGTTTTTTCGAGTGGTGTGATTGTGCGGGCCAGCGAGAAAAATGGGTGCGCGTTGCAATTGATGTCTTACATTTTTTTTTTTCCGTCGTGGAAATCGGGTGCGCGTTACAATCGAGGGCGCGGTAGAATCGAGTAAATACTGTAAGCAGATCAGCATTTGAGAGAAAACCAACACTCCACGGCAGCTGTTTTTTTTTTTTTTGCTCTCTTCGCACGCTTTGTTGAAAGGAGAAGGGTTATGTGGCAGGGACGAGAAAGGGGGAAGCATGGCACTGGTATGTGAGAGAGAGCCACACTTCGAGAGAGCTTTCTTTCTCTTTTTTTTTTTTCTCTATTTCTCTTTGCACACGGCCTTGGAAGGAGAAGGGTCTTTACGCGGCAGGGGCGGAAAAGGGAGAAGCGTGGCACAGGCGCGTCACAGATCGGCATTGGAGAGAGAGCAAACATTCCACTACAGCTTTTTCTTTCCTTTTCCTTTCCTTCGCACACAGCGTTGAGGTGTCGGAGATGCCCCCGCGAGATCGGGCAGGGCGCTAAGAGCATTTTTTGGAGCGCAGGTATGTTCGAATTAACTGTCGCAGTGCTTGCGCGTTTGAATCACTGGGCATTTTTGCCCATTGGAATACACGTAGCTTTGACGGGACCTCATCGTGAGATCGAATTAACCAGAAGTTCGAATTAAGTGTGTTCAAATTATAGAGCTTCGACTGTATAAAGGTTTGGTTTTTTGCTTTGAAATGGCCATTGCAATTTATTGTCAGGCATTCAAGAGCTCATATACGTCAGCCAACTTGCACACTGCAGTGTTCCTACCAACTCTAGTCCTCCCTCGTAATCACCAAAAAGCTGAGTATGCTAGCACCACAACAGGCACTATACTACTGCCACACTAGAGCCGCCACCCCCTGTAAGTACATGCCATCAGCAGCAGGGAGATATAATGACTTTAAACTGGCTGGGCCACATTGAGCCTGGATTTTCTGTTTCAAAAGTATTAAAATTGAACCTAAAGTGTGCAAATAGTGGTCAAGCTATTCATGAGCCTTGGCACACTCGTGGTGCAACAAACGTGAAAAGCAGATGTTTGGCACACTGATATGTATTAGGATTTACTTAGTGCAATTATACTATAATGCCAGTGACAAAGTTGGCACTCACCTCACTTCCCGCAGAAGATACTTGAATGACAACAACTGAGATGCAATTTGAAGACTGTAAGAAAAGAAGAAGAAAAGAAAAAGACACTAAAATAGGGAACTCAAATACAACCTCAAGCTTAAATGAGAAAGCTTCCTTCAGAAATTGATCAGTTCATAAGACAGGCAACCAGACAAACTTTTTCTATAATGTTAGACAAACAATTGTCTTACAGTTCTCTAAGTTCCCTATTAAAAATAAGAGCCTTCCTTTATACAAATGTTGAGGTAATTTGTATAAAAATACACAGTGTCAAATCGGCCACTGAGCCTATCAGCCCCTAGTGCTTCCTTTTATGACATCAGTGGTGATTTTACAGTAAGCATGCAATAGAACACAAGCATTGACAGCAATATTTTTGGACAATGTGTTGAACAAACACTGTACATCACCGCCATACCAAATACCTTTTTCTGGCATAAATATCAGAAAAACATATTATCCCACACCTCGACCAAATCTTTCATAGAACAAAGGTCACTAGAACTACAGGTGTATTTACTAGGCTTGTGCGAATATTCGAACACGTAGTACATTTGAACGAATATTACTGCGCTCAAATTCACTTAGATTTGAATTTTAATTGTTGAAAATTTGGAGGTATTCCAAATAAATGAATAAGTGTTATTAATCCACATGTTACCTCTTGTAAAGCTGGTTTCACTGCAGTAGAGGTGTGCTAAGCTATGTAAGCACCTGTTTAAATGTATATTATTTGCATCTAACATCCTGTAATGATGGTTTCTGTGCCATAAAGGCATGCTAGGCCGTAAAAATACCAAGTCAAGGAAAACCCGCACGGCCGCAAAGCCTCACTTCAATGTTAATGAACATATTTCTCTCACACCGATTCACCATTTTTTTTAGTTTAAAAGCTTGTTATATTAGCTTATATGCTCTAGGTATAGCAAATGTTTAAACATAACATATTTTACAGGTTATCACTTGCATTCTAGTGAAAGTCAAGTCCAGCTTATATTTAGAGTTTTTTTCCCTTTCTTTGAACTAAAAAGAATGTCATTTGCACAAGACTTGTTCCAATTTTTAAAAAACATTGTTAAGATTAGTTGGGTAATAAAAAATATACCCATTTTTAAAATTGATACATGATACCTATGCTATTGGAATTCGATTCGAAATAACTGAACTAAAATCACTATTCACTTCAAATTTGCTTCAGACCTAAAATTCACTATACACATTGGATTCACAACTGTGCATGTAGCACTGCCAAGAATGAACAGCTCATCCATGCCATATCAGTTTCCACCATCTTTTCAATGATTTGAGTGCCCTTGATCAGCAGGACTCTATTCCATAGCAATATTGTTTTATGGAAGGCACATCGCGGCCATAAGCTTTGCACCAGGAAACAAGTGTAATGTCAACAACAAGTGAAATGTCATTGATATGATTCCACTTAATATGTTATTGAGCATAATACATTGTTTTTCTTTTCATAAGGTACAGCAGAATCTCGATGATATGAATTCAAAGGAACACACAGAATATTTATATCATCCCGAATTCGTATGAACCAAGAACCAGTTAAAGCTGGTGAATAAGATGAACAAGAACTGTATTGGCAACTACAGTCGACGTCAGAGTCCTCAGACGCCCAAAATTCTGGACATGCCTGATTTCCTGGAGTTATATGTGGCATCTTCAAGTTCCCCTTAGAGTCAATGTATATTAAAAAGTCCCAAATTCCCAACGTTTATAGCTTTTGCCATCCGATTTTCCGGACATTTTACCGCTATCTGCAGACTCAGTCACTATCGACGACGCCATTTTGGTTGTTCTCATATATAAAGTGACCCACCGTTCCGTGGCGGCCGTATCTTCAAAACTAGAAATGCCTTAATCTGCTGCAAGCCGTAGCTTTGTCAAAACTGTGGCCACTAAGGCGCATGGTGCCATAATGGTGCTGTGCTGCCTGTGCTCCGACAGTTGGAAAAGCTACGCTGTTGACCTACAATTTCCCATTGGCATGCTTGCAGACTCGTGGAAGGCGGTGACGCAACAGACCCTCCGGTACTGTTTTCGCCACGCGAGCTTCATACTGGACGCCAAGACGGCCATCTTGCCCCGAGTGGATAGTGTGTGTGACAAACTTCCACCCGTGGGCCTTGTCTTCGACGATTTGCACGCTGCTGGTGTTTCGATTCCAGCCAAGATAACATTTGAAGGCTTCGCCGACGCTAACAAAGACCTCGAGCTGTGTGCGGAATTAGCCAATGAAATCATTCGTCAAGTTACGGAGAATTCCAGAGACTCCGGCACAGAGATTGAAGAGGCAGCGCCTACAAAACCAACGAACTCAAGAGTTCATGCGAGCACATGCACTGTCATCGGTGTACAGCGACAGCATGATTTTACCTGAAATTGAGGCAGACATCATCGCAGGCAAGTTGAACGCTGCGCAAACGAAAATAAGCGAATCTTTTTTTCTTTTGCGCCTAGGTGTTTACAAATGTGGTAGCGCCAGTCACACCGGATTTTCTTTGTTTGCTTTCTTTCTTTCATTATATATATATATATATATATATATATATATATATATATATATATATATATATATATATATATATATATATATATAGCTCTTTTCAAAGCCACCTAAACGAAGCACTTGCTGAATTGAAAAAAGAATCCTATACTCTTGCAGTGACCCTGTCGACCAACGGAAAATACCTGGAACGTCTGGAAATACAATTTTCTAGATGTTTCCGCGGTCCCTTGAGGGTCCGGGAAATCGGACCTCGACTGTACTTCTGGCTGAAAAATTCCATGATGTTCTTTGGAACTTTCCTGTCTTCACTCTCTCTCAATAATGTGCTGCGGTTTCCTCACTCATGCTGCTGGTGCGACATGTTCCCACTAGACATCAAAGAGAGCGAAAGCGGCCAAACTTACTCGAAGTTCTCTCACTTCGCCGCTAAAGCGGCTAAAAAACCGCGCCCCAAAGTCGACACAAAAAAATCAGTCCTCGAGAATTCACAGTGAGGAATTCAAGCGAAAATGCCATAGTGGCCAGAAAACCACGTCTGTGCCCATCAAAAACGTTCATATTCCTTCTGCCCCTCGTACATGACACCGCTGCAACCGCCATCGCTGCTTGAGAATACATTACATTTTGCTCGTTTCCTCAGCATTAAAGTTTATAGTGAGTTTTAGTGATGCATGCAAGGGACTGAAAAGAAAGAGTTCACACTTTCACAATTGTTGTTTCGGAAGATACACCAGAAGAAACCACACGAGCGGACCCATTAGCCGTGGCGGCGACGGATTCAGCCGGCAGTGCAAACGCAAGACACGTTAGGACATTCCAACTCACTGCTGCTGCACTTTTTTCCACTTTCGGTGTTCTCAGCGATGAAAATCCAAACCAGGCTCTCGATGAACGCGGCCTTGTCAAGGCCATGAGCTTTGACGTGCTCCACAGCTAGTTCGCGAAAGCGCTGACGCGATCCACCTCCGAAGCCTTTGCCGTCATGTTGAATTTGCGGCTGGTTGTTTACATCACGTGGTTTGAGCGCTTGAGCAGCCGGTGTAGCAAAAGCCTTGAAGCAAAAAGGTGATCTGCTATCGCAAGGTGGGAAAATTGGTCTCGGACCGATTTATTCACATCGGCCTCACAGCGTGTTTTTCTAGCGACTAAAGTGAGGAAATTCCGGCGAGTTCTGCTGCATTCACTCCCTTCGAGGCCAAGATTGAACAGGCCTTCCTCCAACAGACAAGCCTAGTTGTGCCGCTTGCGTACAGCGGTCAATCGCACACTCGTATCATCCCCAGTTGCTGGGGAAACTGTTTGTAAAACACCGAATCACAACGTATATTATATAATATAGTCCATTCAAAACAACCTTGAAATTCCTATCATCGTGAAATTAGCATCAACTATAATCATATCATTGATTTTTTTACAGTACTGCATTTTTGTACGGCTAATATAATCATATTTCCGCATAGGCTAAGACAATAAAATCGCGAAAATGTCTGAAAGCCTAACGTGGTTTCAATTTTTGTGCCAACAGCTACTACGCCAACATGGCACTGGCTCTCAGGGCACTCTGGTGCTGGCAGAAGTGCAATGACGACAATGAAGAGGCGAGAGGCTGCACTGGTGATCATCGGCAAATAACTGCCATGCACTTGAAGCTTTACATGTGTTTCGTAGCCTTGTCATAAGTGACAGACTCAGTCATGAAAATGTTACTTGTTTCTTCAAGTTTAAAAAAACTTCCTGCGGGATATCGACAAAAAAAAAAAAAATACAGCACAAAGGGACAGACTACTATCAAGTTCTTAATAAAAAGCAAGTTTTGTGTCAAGTATGCACTGTTTGTGATTATTTGGGCCCTATTTTGGATAATGCCACATTTAGATAATGTTTTTATTTTTAACGCCTGTAAGAATTGTATGAGTAAGATTCACTGCAGTCATCCTAATGGGCTGTCACTTTAGCACAACTGGTGGTGTGGCGCATGCCTAACATTTGGTGTTAACCCGAGAACAGTCTATGACGTACAGTCGAGCCCACATATAATGGCCCCACTTGAAACGAACTTTCACTTAAAACGAACAATATCTGCGTGACCATGAAAATACACATTGGTTCAATGGCACATAATCACATTTACAACGAACGTCTCCGAGCACCACCGAAAGATTACAGCGAACGGGGTCGGTGATCAGCCTACTTCCTGGGAAACCACTTTCGACCACCGATCAGGCATCGGCGAGGTGCCCATACATTCTTATTGTTAAGCGCCGACCCTGCCTCCGCGCCCCACTAGTTGCCACTCTCCCCAACCGCTTTTTGTTACGCACCCCTCCGTACTTTGTCCCCCCACGCTACTCTGAGCACCCCGCATTGCCAGACGAGGCCCGTGTTTTTACACTGCCACTGATCTTTCGAAGACCGGTCGGCCATCTCCCATTTTTAATTGCTGGTACTGTCGTTGGTGTCGCCGGCTTGGAGTGACCAGACCGTTTGCCGACATCGTCGGCCACCGACTGTACCCGATTGTCTACGTCTAGTGCACGCGCGTACGCTACCTCACTGTCTCTGATAATTCGCGATTTGTTTTGTGTTTACGACCTGTTGTCACTCACTTCGCACTCGGCTCAGCATGCCCTCCTCACACGTGCGGAAGCGTGAAAACGGCTGTTTACTTGCGCGGAATGAATCGCGAAATATCGAAGTTAATAAGGCCACGCAAACCCGCTGGCGCAACAAAACGATTTTTTGACAACGACTGCCGATTCTTTGAACACCGCCGTGCGCGCCAATCCAATCGGCTGTGCTTTGACCTCTGCGCGCGGAGGCACTCTTTCAAGTTTTCTACGCACGCATTTCACAAGCCTTTCAAGCCAGCTACCCGACCTACCTCCTTCCCGAGTGTTTTGGTTTTCAAAGTCACCCTCCAGCTGTGTCTTCCCCTCTCTTCACTCTATAGCAACTCCTTGCCCTTCTCTCGCAAATCTTGTTCTCCTCTCTTGATCACAACCCCTTTGCCTCTTTCCACCGCTCTGCGACGCCAGCCACGCTGGCTCGAGTTAGTTTTGTTTTCTGCCTAGAAACGGGCCCAGAGCTGTTCCGCGCGTTCTGGCATGTGTGTCACATGTGCGCGTTTTGCTCGCTCTTGGTGTGCGTGTGTGATCAGGATGGCAGACGGGAGGACTTGCACGCTTTTTCCTGCTGCTCAACAAAACGTCGAAAGTGTGACCGCTTGGCTTGAGCATAATCCGCGTGTTTGGTGCCGCACTGTGGAGTGTTTGCTCATAGCTGTTGACCACCTAGCAGCCAACTTGCTGCTTCGGGCGTCCCGGTATTCGGTTGTGGAGATGGTGACTATTTTCGTGGGCAGCGGTGACGGCTACATGCGCGCGAAACTGTTTCGCGAGGCCGACTTCGTCGACGTCAGGTCCGATGCCGAGCCTGAAGCTTCTGAACAGGATCACTTCGGCGGCGATTTGTGGCAGCGCACCATCGACTCTGAATAAGACAGTAGGTGGAACATCTGTTGCGATAGTTTCATTACGGCCAATGATGATGCCGACACCGCGAAACCGTGCACAGATTAGGGCATTGTGAATGAAGTACGTGGCAAGAGCGATTTGGAGGAATCAAATTGCGAGAACGACGAAACTTTGGAGCCAGTCCCTCATGCAACTTATGCCACAGGCATCGGCGAACAAGCACGCAATTGTATGAAATAAACTAGAGACCGCCCTTATCACTTCTGCTCTTCGAAACACGTGCATCACGAACTTTTTTGGGCAAAAAAGTTTGTGTTTCACTCGCAACTTTTTTAAAAGCTGCGTTTCATTTACTACGAACTTTGGCATACAGCGAACGGATGCAGCGTCAGGCTCAGGTTCGTTATAAGCGGGCTCGATGGTACATGTGACAAAACCACAGCCTTTCAAGTTTGCTTGTCAATTTCAGTTTGTGTCCTAGTTATAAAAATTTATTTTTAATAAGCCCTATACTTTTGCTTGCCACTTGACATTTGCGTTCTCCATAATAACAAACTATTTAAGTCTTCTTCATCTAAACTTCTCCTTTTAAGCACACTCCTGCTTTGCTGCTGCTTGTTTCGTAGCTGGATGCTTGCAATGAAGAAAAAAAATCAATTTACCTAGAAAAATCAGGGTGGCTATAAGGCACCGCATTGAAGCTCTTCGCACAGAAGTTGACACCGAATGGAAATACCAGGTGGATCTTGCGTTCTCTGGCAAAGAAGTCTGGCTCCTGTACAGAAAGGAAACGAAATCACATAATAAATACGGAAAGAATATGTAGTTTTACGACTATGGCAGCACTTCTCCCACGTGGCAAACTGTCAAAGCTAAAATCTCATTAGGTAAAACACACAAAAAGAAAGATTGATTGATTGATATGTGGGGTTCAACGACCCAAACCAACGTATGATTATGAGAGACGCTGTAGTGGAGGGCTATGGGAATTTTGACCACCTGGGGTTCTTTAACGTGCACCCAAATCTGAGCACACGGACCTTCAGCATTTACACAGAAAAAAAAATGAACATGAAAGAAAGCTACAGTACAGTAGGAGTATACACAGTAATGACACCAGTAGTACGGGCAAATTGTCTAGTTTAAAAAACTTGGACAATGCTTGAGCTTTGCCTTCAAGAGTAAAACGCGAAAGCATAATCGGGCCCAGTGCCTTCAACTGCTGGCCCGGCTTCGCTTTTACGTGCATGTCTTAACCGTGCCATAGGGAAACGAACGACTATGTGTGTAACATTGATCGTTTGAAACGATCCTAGAATGCCTATTGAGAGTACAGTTCTTAAGTGCCTACTACACCTTAATTGTACCTTTTTAGAATCAGCGAAGGGCCCACTACGCGTAAGTAAGGCAACACATGAACCCGCCGTGCGCGCGGGTTCATGTGATGCAGTTTCTCACTTTGTCGATTTTTTTTTGTCCCTAATGATAATTAAATATGCCTGAAAGCGTCATGGAGGGCCTTTAAAACACCCACTCGTGCAATTCCCATGTTTTGATGCCTGGGGTGATTGTACGTTTCTGCCTAGCAATATTAAATGTGTTAAGGAAACTTCATCCTGTACATAATGTTCATAGAGTTTTTTTTTGTTGCTGTTGTTAATTAGTTATTATTTATTCACATACATCATTCAGTACAATACAGTGCAAGTAAAAAGTTGATATAATACAGAAGGAGGTCCCAAAGTAAAAACTGTCAGGGGGACCTCCTGACAGTTTTTCTTAAGCAGTTCAAATGAATAGCGTGACTCTGTGGTAGAACACCTACTTGTCGAGCAAACTGCCTGGGTTCTACTCTCACTTGAACCAATGTACTTATCATTTATTATCAATATCCATATTTCTCAATCTTTCGGTCAAAGACGACTTCTCCCTCACAATCGACGATGCCGACACGAATATCTGCGAAACGAGCTCTTTAATGCTATCACGTTAATGCTATCAAGTGTGTAGCTTGCCATATCACATGAAGTGCTCCCTCCCATACACAAAGTGACTATAACAAAATAGTGACAGTGATGGAACTTTCTCATCCCTCATTAGCCTTTTTCCTATCAAAGACAAGCTAGGCTCTTCCACACTGTTCCTACCTCTCCTCCCAAACACGAGCTCCGATAGTACAGAAAAGAAACAAGTGCTCCTGCAGTGCCGGTGCTCAAGCTATTATGATCTGTTTAACACAATTTTCTATACAATAAACAAGAGGCACAAGAAAAAAAAAGCTCGAAGCATCCATTTCAGTTCAAATGGCCCTGACTCTGGCAACCAGATTTAAAAACCGTGTCCCTCACTGTGCACAGGCAATTCATAAACAAATGCACGATCTATTATATATACGTATATACAGTTCAGCCCACTTATAACAAACCTAAACATGACGCGACATCCATTTGTAGTATCGCAAAATTTGTAGTAAATGAAACACAACTTTGCGAGTCGAGTGAAAACACGTTTTTTTTTTTTTCTCAAAAGTCCGTAGTGCACATGTTTCAAAGAGCAGAAGCGATAAGAATGGCCTCAAGGTTACTTTTTTTAAGGGCTTACTTTTTTTAAAGTTTACTTTTTTTAAGAGATTTTTAAAGGGGGGACGCGGCTTTGGGATCGCAAAAAATGGCAAAAAAAAAACGATTTTTCAGAGTTTTCAGTTTTTGGAACCCTCTTTCTATCTGATGCCAAAATATCTACACTAAAAACCATACAGAAGTGCTTCGGAAAATTCTTTTCACCTTCCTAGGTAGCGAAACTTTTTCCGGAAAGCGCGAGAAAACAGGGATTTTCAAAAAGTTATAGCTTCATGATGGCCCGGCCAGGAGCCGGCTTCTTGGGCTCATCAGAAAGGGCATTTCTACGTGTTTAAATTTCCTGTCTGAGTTGGCTCCTCCCTGTATGAACAAGCGCACAAAAAGCAAATGTTTGAAGGTCGTTTCGAGGCCCTTGATCATCTGTGGCCTCCTTGTTGCCTCAGCTCGCCCCGCCATGGGTCCAATGCTCGCTCCGGGAGATCGTCATCTGCTGCTTGTGCGTCGCGAGGACATGCCTCTTGAAAATCGCTACTTCGTAACGTGTTCACAGCTCGATGATTACTTAGGATATAATTACGCTTTAGTTAGAAGCTGTAAGCAGATGCACGATCAGATTACAACGAGCGGGCACACCGTCTACGAGCGCTGCGTGTCATTAGAGTAGTCTTTGGGCCTAACTCCACTGATGGCGAGACAAACTTTATTGGGCAAGAACGACGCGCTAGCGCACTAGTGGCAATGTGCTTCTTCGCAAGCAACCAAGCACATTACTCACTAGCTCCTTAGAACAACAGACGGGCATATTACGCATTCGCAGAGGACCCCACAGTGAAGCTCGTCAAACCCCCCTCCTCTGCCAAGGATTGCTCGAAAAAAAGCGACTAGCAGTTTCTCATGTCGACACTCGAAAATGCGATACTAAGCGCAGTGCGCGCTGATTTTGTGTCATCGTAGCTACACATATCGCACATCGTCACTGAACGCCGTCGCCAAGTGCATTGCGCGCTGGCTGCACTGTCCATGCGGCCACATTAACACGCACTTCACAGTCATATAAAATGCTGTCAATGAAGCTTTTGTGATGTGATTTAGACGCTATTGGAGCCGTGCTTGGTATCTCTGCGAGCATCTATGAATATACTGAGACAATGAAAGCCTTGTAGATAATCGTTTCTGCGACCAGCCGTATGATGATGCGTTTCATGGCTAGAGTGGCAAAAGAGCATGTATGATGCAGGGGCATGAAATTTTATATGCCCGATTCGCGTCATTAAATAAACTGTTGAAAAATTCCTGTGCCACCAGTTTTCTGCCCATAACTGTTAGTTATTTGAAAAGAAGGCATAGGCTGTCGTGGTGTGAGCCATTATTCTGATGCAATAAACCTTTCTATATTAAAAATGTTCAGTGATATTTTTAATCAAGAAGCAGTTAATTATACTAATGACAGCTTAAGAACAAGAAAGATGTATAATAATTTTAGTATATGGCCTTATCCAATTACAATCTACTCTGTCATGCCTATCACATCACTCCTTCATACAGAGAACTTGATTTGAAATCCATACTTGTTCTTTGTAGATTAAAAAAAGGAGGTTATAAAAAAAACACAACAAAGGCACACTGGGCAGAGGCCACATGCCTGAGAAGTCCAATATGTCAAGAAAAACCTAAGATCACAATTTTTAGGTGTTTTAGAGATGTAAAGAAAAGGAGAAATGTTAAAAGCAGTTTTCTCGGGCATTAAGGAACCAGTATTTGCGTCCTCGCAATCCGCCCACAACAGTAGATGAATTCATAAGAGAGGCGACTGTCATCAAGACCGCACTGCAACAACGATGCCGACACTTTGACCGCCTGCCGAACCACATGGCAGTAAGTGCTGCAGCTCCAAACACAGCCGTTTGTAAAAGTTCCCTGTGACAAATGATCAGAGAAGTACTGTGTGAAGAACTTCGGGCTCTCTGCGTTCCTCCTACTCAACCGCTTACAGCATCTGTTGCAGGAATCGTCCGCCAGAAGTTAAGGCAAGCCTTTACATTACCAGCGCCACGTACTGAGCCACATCCAGCGAGCTATGCTAATGTGGTCTGCTGTCCTCCACCATCATTTGAGGTGACGCCCTATGCTTCCGTGCATTGGTGGCACCGAGATTCTGTGAAACGACCACCAGTTCGCCGAACTGACTTATGGCGCACGGCCGACCGCTGACCTATCTGCTTTCGCTGCGGGGCACCAGGTCACAATTCCCACTATTGCCACCGCGGCGATTTCGGGTTCGGTAACTTTTCTCGTCCCGCTTCTTTCCACTTTGAAGACCGTCGCACCCCCGACACCAATCAACTATCAACTGGCCAAGCAACTCCCATGCCTCCCTGGCAATCTCCATCATCTGCTGTTGCCACTTCGGGTCCTGAGGGTCTCAGTTTTGTAGCGAGCCCTCACGCTAGGATCCATCGTCCAACAAGTCAAATAAGGCGCTCATAAGAACGACAATTTATTCACATGGTTAGTAACTGAGAATTCGAAAGAAGGTGATCAAGTGATCAAGTATGAACTAGAAGTCAGGAACTATACAGGAGAACTGTGGAACTGAAAATATACAAAAGTCTTCCGCTTATACAGTGCCGCGTTGCCAACCCTGGGCGCACTGTTCGCAGCTTCAACCAATACGGCGCTCAATGGTCTAGGTGTTCCACCCGACGGAGGGGGCTGCAGCAGATAGTGCCTTTTTCCTTTCTACACATTCAATCCCTTATTGTTTGCTAGAAGCTGCGGCTTAGCTGTGAATTTTCAGGGCTTCGCTTCTTTTCACAAAGTGCAGCCACAAGCAGTTTGGTTTTAGCTTTCAGCCAAAACTGCAAATACCACGCTGGTTCCGGTCTTTCCAGATTCTCGGTGACCTCAAAAATGACCCAGCTGCTTTTTTGTTTGCCTCGAAAGCCTTGCATAGAGTCGAGCTCACAATGGCCTTTTTCGGCTCGTGCATTTTCTTTGCGCGAATTGATTCTGGAACCCCTTGTTCACGTTTTGCTGACAGGAAATCAACCCGTCTTGACGGCACATCCTTGCTTGGAATGCATTGAAATATTTTCAATTTTCAAGAACCGAGTTAATGAGCTTTTACTGTAACAATGTTCACTGCTTGACACTTAAAGCGCTGTTTAAACAAAAATGAGGCATGAAACATAATCACCGGTACACATATGAGTGCGAACTAACAAGTACACCAGTTGTTACTTCGCTGTGTTTCAAAAGTGCACTCCTTTTGCAAACGACGCCTGTCCAGCGAGGGAAGTATCTTTGTGCGCCCAGCAACTAAACGCAATCGTTCTGGTCAAAGTCGAAGGCACGAGATTCTCTCCACCGAAAGATCAGCGCGCGAGCACAGGCATCAACTTCTCCCCCCCCCCCCCCTCGCAGGGCAATGTGTGCGTGGGAGATAAGCGCAGGTCGGCGCATCGTGACCAGCTGGGCGCCGAGCACAGGCGGCTTTTCTTTTTTCCTTTCTTGAGTTTTCAGATATATAGATACGTATACATATACGGTGAATGAGGGCGGCAGCGACGGCAGAAAAGTAGCTGAGGCTGTCCAGGGTTCGTACAGCTTCCCAAAACAAAAATTCAAGAATATTTAAGGACTTTCCAGGACCTGTTGCAAGTTTTTCAAGGACTCAAAGCGGCATGCTAAGTTGAAATTTTTCACTCCAAAATTTTCAAAAATGACCAATATTATTGCACTTACAATAAATACATGTGCACACATTGATGATGCTGGCTGTTTAAAGAAAGTTTTGTAACGAGACGGTGCATAGCCATGATCACACGTATTAGCAGCCTGGGGCTTGTTGGCAACCGCACGAATCATTGTTTATGCATGCTGATTTATAGCTGCACCACATTGGTATCGCAACAAAAGGGCATGACAAGCACACCGGTGCACGCGAGCGGCATTATGTTGTCAATACTGAAGGTAAAACTGGCAGCTACGAATAGCAGCACGATTCATACATAGAAAATCAATGCAAACAAGTCGGAGACACAAAATGAGGGCACTTTCTATCCTACTGCAATCCAAGAACATATCCAAGAACATTCCACAGTATGACCTAAACACAACAATTTTATTTATTTTTTTCTGAGCGATTGCCAACGATCTGCCTTAGCATTTATGAGACGACTTCATTTTCAATGCCCAGTTCCATGCCTAAAGCGGTAGCCACACGGCTGTTCTGAACTACTTTGTGATACGCCTAACGGCCAAAAATTTTGGGTCGTTGGTCTTGGCATTACCACGAGGCCCCCGTTGAGAACATTTAAAGCGGACAGCATGCAGGCCGTCAATAGTGGAGGCCACTAGAAGACGTGGCAGCACTGACTCAGTTGTGAGACAAGAAACAAGTTGCCGCTATGTAAAAAAAAAATCTGTTGAAGTTCGTAGGGGCAGACCAAAAACATTCTGGGTGAAAAGCACTCACTTCTTGTGTGAAAAGCCAAAACAGTGAATTGAGGCAAAGTTGGTGCAGCTAATAGTGGGACTAATGCAACAAGGTGCAGGCAAGTTGAACTCTAGTAAAATGACACAAATAGCACAGTTGGACGACCACTGCAGTTTTCACTGCAGCTGGCAGTCAGGATAAAAGCATTAATACCGCTAAATAATTTAAAAAATCAATAGCCAGAAATGGCAACTGAATGCTTCACGTAATTTAACTGCTCAACAAAACAAAGTCAATACTCACTTCAACATAGTCTGGACAGTTTGTGGTGCACGCACCAGGAATGGATGAGAGAAGGCCATCAAGACAGTTTTCAGCAGCTGACAGACCAGATGAACTGGCATTCAGCGAGCACCTGGGTCACAATGCAGAAACGAAAAATGAACACTAAAAATTTGAAAGGAAGCACTCAAATGAACTGTGATCATGTACTCAAGCTTGATTGACACTGACAGGATGTGGCCAACCTAGATGTCACACTAAGACAGCCTAGCTTGACAGTGTCTACATGAACTTGGACTCAACAAATCAAGGTTGTTGCAGTCGCCTGCACCAAGGCAAAAAACACAATGTGTGTACTTTATTGAAGCAAACTTAAAGCTGCCAAGCTGACCAACCCACATGTTCAGTGTTCATGGAATACATGTATCAATTTAGGGCTAAGCAATGCACATGCATATTTCTGTTTCCACTATTTTTAGTACTACTATGTGTCAAATTGGCATAATGTTGGCACATGCATTTAAATCTGGTGGGCTATTTTGTATGTGTTCTGTGATAGAACAGAACAAAACATCATGAGAGGAAAGAAGGGAGCTGCATAGGATTGGTCAAGTTCAGTCTGACGGACAGACATGAGAACAGCAACTAGATTCAGCACTGCTGTTAATGATTTTAGCAAAGAATGGGCACAAAACAGATAGAGACGCTGTTTTGTCTGATAGAATGGATACAGAATGGTCTCAAGATGCAGGCCCGTAGCCAGTGGGCACGCCCTACAGACTTAGACCCTCTCCCCCCCACCCCCCCTCTTGAAATTTGGATAAAGGGGGTGTTTTACTGAGGACAAATAATAAAAACAGGTGTTTTCAAGGCCTTCACGAAATGCCCCTCCCCCTCCTCCTCCCCGCAAAAAAGATCCTGGCTACAGGCTTGTTTGGACGACTTAGATTGGATTAAACATGAGTGCTGGCACCAGAGAATCAAATTAGCCTGCTTTTTGTATGGCTCATTCTAATCTCGCACCGATACTTTGCAAAATCGCAACTAGCCAGTCCTCAACCACTGAACGACTACCACCTAGCATTCACTTGGGACGTTAAATTGTTGCACTCATTGTGCTCTTCAATTCCAAGTTTAGAAGAACAATGCCTGCCAATATTGATGTTCAGCTATAATATTTCTATACTTTTTTGCAGTGATAACCTTTCTGAATTCGAGTAATACCACAAAATGAGCTAGTTAATATGACTAGGTAATAACAAATTTAAGCGCACACTGACACATGGATAAAGAGAGGGAACGACACCAGCGCTACTATCAAATGAAAGCTTTATTCATAAAGATATATATGTATATTTCAATGCTATCACCTGCTGCTCTGCGCATAATTGTAGTTTCAAAATCTGGGGCTATCGTGCCATATCTGCTGTGTTCATTATCTGCTTCAGCAGCTATACTTCTTTTTCCAAAATAGCCACTGACAAGGTTAGGAAAAAGCTGGGTGCTGTCGGAAGAGGAAGCACAAAAACTTGCAAAGTTAAGCACAAGATTGGTTTTGTTCCATGTAAGTCTAACCTTGTTTAATGTATTCTCTGACATGTGGATGAGTGTACAGTAAAACCTCATGAATTCGAAGTCACTTGGGCCGTGCGAAACCTTCGAATTAACAGAAGATACAATGAATGGAATGCAAGAAACTTGAAATTATTCAAATTAATCTGGGCTGGTAGTTTGCTGTGCCGACTAGTTTGTGGCTCAAAGGGTTATGTTTTCCAGCAATACCTGGTCATAGTTTTGCCGCAAAGAAGGGTGAATTCTGAGCCTAAAAAAATTATCAACTAAAATGCGCAATTGCGAAAAACAAGACATCTTCACTGCGACACACCGGTGACACGCGAGCAGCATATCGCCTTCTCGCTACGTCGACCATTCGCCCATTTTTTCTCGTAAAATAAAGAATTTAATAACGAACAGTGTGATGAAACTCGCAATGTGTTTTGGCTGGAAAACATCACCATTGAAGCTTTTGGCCCGAGTTTTCGAAGTAGGCGTTGCAGGCAAAAACTCTGCCAGCTGTTCAAGTGCGCGAATTGCTGGAGCAACCGGCACTTGGAGGTTCGCATACATCGCAGATTTCTCCAGACAGTCTTTTATTTATTTGTTTCTTTTTTTATTTGTTTCTTTTTTCTTTTTATTATTTGTTTTTATTCGTTCTAGAAAGAACGAATAAATCATGACGCGCGAACATTGCGAGAAACATGCAACATGCTGCCCGCACGCCACTTCAGTATTGCAGTGAAGCATGCCTTGTTTTCCACAGGCGCATATTTTAGCTGATCACGAGACCATTTTTTACATATATAATTTTATTTTTCAAGCTGGAAGTAATGAGGCAGAAGTGCTTCAGCTACTACTCATTAGTATCACTTAAGTACATTGTCTAATGGCTTTTAAGAGGCGTCGTTTCCACAGATTTGCGGCAAAATCGGGATCGGGCATTGGCACACTGGACTCAAAGTTTTCGAATTAAAAGGACTTGTGCTGACTGCCACTTCAAGTTATCCGCTCAAACTTACACTGCAAAACACGCGACCGTAGAAATACTTCAAATTAAGTGGGATTTTGAAATAACCGAGTTCAAATTAACGGTCCTTTACTGTATGAGGGGCAGACTGGTCGCTTCATAAACATACACCCAAGGGAGCACCACTCCTCGAGGGCAGGCCGCTAACGCATTTGGCCATACATTGTGAAAACTGTGGGTGCAAGGCACGCTTTTCGAATAGAGTCATTTTGTTTAGGCACCATGATTGCACCGCATGAGAGATCGCAGAGGCACTTCCTATCAACATTAGGCAATCATCTTGTATGAGCTACCCGTCAGTGACTATTTTGGAAAAAGAAGTGTTGCTGCTGAAGCGGATAATGAGCACAGCAGATACGGTGCGATAGCCCTGGACTTTGAGACTACAATGGTGCGCAGGGGCAACAGGTGATAGCATTGATATATATATTTTCCTTTTCTGAATAAAACCTTCAGTTGATAGTAGCGCTGGTGTCGTTCCCTCTCTTAGTCGATGCGTCCGCTAAAAATAAGTTATTCTGCCTTTCTGAATTCCCTCAGCTCGCCTGGTGGCTATTAGCTTCCTTTCATCCTCTCATTACGCTTTGTTTCATTTTGTCACAGAATGCATTCTAAATAGCCCCCCCAGAGCCGATATCACTTTCAGTGACTAGTTTTGCAGTGACATGATATGGTTATCCTGAGCACCAAAGCATACCATTTGTTACACTTGAAGTTCTGTTTGTTTCAATCCATGAGTTCAGTACTTGATAAGGACAGCCAAGTACCACCCAGCAAATTGACTCAACTCACATTTGCCAAGTTCAGGTAAACATCCAGATAAATAACAAAATCTGACCTCGTCTGATAACAAAAACAGACAAGCTCAGAAAAAATTAAGAGCCCCACAACCAATTTTTGAGCACCTGCTTATAAGGCGGCACAGGAAGCTCATTAATGAAAGTAATATGACATGCAGCAGTTACTTAGGAAAAAAAATAAAGATTTTCAAAGAGGTGTTATTCATTTGTAAGTTCTCAAAATTGTGGCTCTATAAATGATGGCAGCATATTACAATATCTCAGCCATGAGAAACGAGCGAAGCTATTCATAGCGAGAATTGGCAAAATGAATAAAGCGAGCAAGTAAACAGGCCTGTACGGACGTGCACCAATACTGCCACCAGTGGACTATAAAACACACTTGAATGTGACCCACATGTCCATTGCATTGCGATCCATCTTTGCAACCGACCATCTTAAGTCAGCAACTAGTCAATCACACTGTCAAATTGCAATGTTGCTTCAACCTTACTGAACATGTAAGTCTATTACCGTTCTTGTCTGCCAACTTCTGTCTTATAATCATTGAAAGATGCATTCAATAAGAACATCTCAGTCTTCCTACTTGGGCTTCGACATTTCCTCACCTCATAGAATCCTTCTTGAGTAAGGCATCTGCCAAGGCTTTCAACTGGGGCAACAAATACTTGAGGTTCGCAGCTTCAGCTAGGGTCTTCATTTGTGTTATCTGCAGTCAAAAAAAAAAGTGTGAGGTTCTATCAGTTTTGAGAGTTTTAGATCTTTATGCATAAGAATCAAAAGTAAAAAAAAACACTCGCTCTACAGTTCCCGTGACATAAACACAACCTTGCTCAGATTCCCCCCCCCCCCCCCCCCCCAAAAAAAAACATTCATCAAGAGAAAGCAAGAACACTAAAAATGCATGTTTCTTGGTGTTCAGCAGAGGAAAAAATGTTGTATGAAGACTACATAATGTATTAAGCATGTTCAGTAACCCTTCGAATTGCATAATTTAGTTCATGCTCTTACCCCTTTCATTCTACTTTTGAGGCAATGGTTATGTAGACACAGTTTAGGTTTCAAAAATTGTCATGTACTTTGTCTGAAATATTCTGAAAAAAAGAAACCTTCCAAATACTAGTAAAAATTTCTTCTTTAAACATTTAGTCACACAAATGCTGCCTGTTTTCTTTTTCTTTTATATGAATTCATTATCACCAAGATAATCAGTTACTGCCCTTACTTACTACTTTTTCTATTAATATTTGTAAGAAATAGCCTCACTGCTGGCTCATTACTGATACAACAGAATTGAAACAGCATCAAGTGCACACGATTGTCGTCATAATGACTACGAAACTGCTAATTATGCAACCCACTGTAGTAACTTAGTGCCTGAGATGTTGCATTGCTAAGCTTGAGGTCAATTCAATGCCAGCTGTAAAGGCACCACAATGAGATGAGCATGGAATGCAAAATCAACTGTACATGCATTGGTTCACATTCATAGTAATGGCGTAATATTTTTTGCTTTTAATTTGTTTGTATTAAATGAAGATCCTAGACTTCTGAACCCTGGTAGATAAACTGGCAAGCCTAAAAATACCTTAAATAACTTGACATTAGAGAGTTTCTTAGAGGCACATGTGGTTTAGTTTGCCAGGCAATTACTGTGTCATGCCATCATGATGCGAAGGCAATCGCATTGAAGCCGGACATTGCAAGTCTAGGCACATGCAGAGGTTCACTTAGCCGCTTCCTCTGCTGCTGTTAGTTTTGAGGTTCAACATAGCAGCATAGCAGATAATCAAGCAAGCTGGAGTGAGTGTCACGCATTGCACTGCTCTGCTCTAATGCTGCCATCCTCTGGGCCATGGTGTGATGACAAGGTAACATCTTGCGAACAGAGCCAAATATGGGTGTAAAAAAGCTATTACCGAAAATTAGTAAATTATTCATAGCACTCTGACATTTTCCCGTCTTTCTTCTAGCATTTAAGGGGCCCAGATGTATACACACTAAAGTGAGAAGTGATTTTTAAGCGCTACTTTAAAACAGCCCCAGGTGGCTTGTGGTCAAAATTAATCCAGTCTTCAACTACAGTGTGCCTCAAAAATAGATCTGAGGTTTTGGCATGTCTAACTTGTACAACTTCTGAGCTCAATTTTTTAAAGTGAAAGCTGTTAAGAGTTTACAACAAGGGCAGATAATGGTGCCGTAGTTGTCTACTGCTGCCGGTGGCGGCGTCTGCAACCGCTATCACGCGAAATAAATAAAACCGAGGATAGAATGGCAATCAAACCTGGGCACTCTGCATGGCAACCCAGTACTCTACCACTGAGCAATGCCAGTGCTTGGAACTCCATTGCAAACTGACCCTATGCAAGCTTTATTTCGTGCAATTAATCACATTACCATGTGTAATAAAGCATTTTAGAATGTAAAAACTCTGCACCACACAATGTGAATTGTGTAATGAGTGGATCGTTGCATGCTCCAACCTTTTACTGAACCCTTCGATTTATTTCATCGTTTACAGCCACAGCATAAACAAACTGCACATAATGCCTTACAAGTATGTACAGTCGAATCCCGCTATAACAAATTCCGCTACAACAAAATTCCAATCACAACGAATACTTGGATTCCCCGTCAGCCGCCCATAAAAAAGGTGAAAAATGTCTCGTCACAACTAATACTTTTCCCAGATATTTCCGCTTTAACAAGTTTTGGCGAGTACTATACGAACTCAACTCGGAGTGACGTGAAATTCCGATACCAACTCGGCCACTTCTCAACGGCTCGTGCCATCCAGAACGCAAGGCCATATCGCAACAATCGTGTTTTCATCGAATACACACTTTCTGCCACTACACGCACATCCCGCTAAATTTATCACCATTGAGATGCACGGCGACAGCATGCTCATCCGCCATAATGTTGCCGGTGGAAATTTGATGTAGGTGTGGGCCGCGGCAGATTTGTGATCTTCAAGAACGTTGCTACATGTTTTTGACGTCGTGCTCAAAACAAAGCTAACCGCTCGTCTTCCCTAGCTCTGCGATTGTAAATGACAACCCCGCGTTGTGAAGGCGTACACGCGAGCAGCACGCACCTAGTCCCAGCGTAACGGCATTCTGCCGTGACTGCTGCAAACACAAATGCTGTCGTGTCGAACGCGATCATGGGCGACCCCGAAAGTACGCGCGTAGTCAACGCGCACTGACTCAGCCCAATATTTATTGCTGTAATAATGCAAACAAAGATAGCAACGACACAGTGCTTAAAGGGAAGCTGAAGCCCTTTTCTAAAAAATTACTGAGGAGCGTGTAAGGATAGTTTGACCCTGGATTAGAAAAGCGATGTGAGAGTTCTCAAAACTGAAGGCCAACAGCACTTTTTCGTGAAAAAACAGTGGCTGTGGCCGCCGGGCTTCTTGAGACACCGAGCGAACACGGTGACATCATTTTGGGTATGTCGCGTAATCTGCAACAGCAGCACTGGGGCTCTTGGATTTTCAGGCCTCTGGCAGCTCTCTGGCAGCCAGAGCTAGCCAGCGGGTCAGCCAGCTAGTTCCGGTCGGGACACAAAACAGCGTTGTGGTCACATGTCTGGGGAACCTGAGACAACCCGAAGTTACCCGAAGATTGCAAACTCGAACGCTGGGACAGCCAGTGTAAATGTAAACAAACTCTACCGCCGTGGCAGCAAACGAAACAATGCGCCTCGTGCGCACTGGTTTTTTTCTGCATTGTCCACTTTAAAATACATCGCTAAGCTCGGCGAAAAGCTGAAATGATATCCTTGAACTTACGCATTTGGGGTATGACTTCATACGCTCGCACGATCACTCGCCGTGTCCGCGAGCAAAACAGCCAGCTGACGCACGCCACCTCGAGAATGATGCAAGGTGAGCTGTCGCGACGCTGCCGACTTAACAAGGTCACGTCTCTTTAGTACACGTAACAGTCATTGCACAACACGAGGCGAAATCACGCGAAAGTGATTGTGTCCCCAAAAGAGCTATATATACCTGCTCATCTATCACGTAGTATACATCGCAAACACGCGTTGACCAACTTATGTTTTTGTCTAAAGTTTAGACATGCGTAGGTATAGGTACAACGAGTGCGCATCGTATCTAAAATAAACTTTTGCATGACCCGTTTTCGACCCGTTTTTGGACTTGCCTGGGCCTGTTTTCCAGTTCTAAGTGGCACTTAACAAATATCATGTATATCAGCTTTGATTCCACCTACTTTGTCATAACCGTATATACTGCGCGGCATTATAACGAAGAGGTGAACAGAGACAAAGATGACGATGAAATAGGCAACGGAAGGATGTATACAATTCTGAATCCCTCTCGGTTTTCAGATTTTTTTTTTTTCCGCATCAATGCGTATAATATCATATACCACAGATGCTGGCACATAGATCAAAGTGCGCTCGCACGCCATTCGCAACCAGCGAGTATCACACACTTGAAGACAACAGTCCCGATCTAGGGCCTTCTATCACCATCGAAGATCGATCGAGTAGTCAAGTTCTTAAAGGTTCACGCACGCAAACATACGATGGAGCAAGCTAGTTTGACTGCCACCGTCTTCGCTAAATGCACAGAAAGCAGGCACGGCTCTGCAAATGACTACTACGGTAAAAAAAAAAGTAACTTCAAAGTTGTCTCCATTCGTGCATACGAACGTGTAGTACATAACTTTTGTGGCATGTGCCCGACGCAGTTTGCAGGCAACAGTTCGCCGCGTTGTTCCCAGGAGGAAGCTTCACGGGAAACATAATAAAAGCGATGGACAGTAGCTTCAAACACTCGCCAGCACTCGTAATCGCCTCATCTCGCATGACGGAACAGGCTTTAGAAGATAACGCCACGCGTAATGACAAGGGAATGTGCAATCCTCAAGTGCCCACATTGCAATCTGTCGAGTTTTCACAAAGATGGCGCCGAGCGCGTATCATGTCTTTTTGGCGTCTACTAGCCCGAAACGTGCCCAAAACCTTCCAGAGAGCTTCCACGACTGAATTGTCCAGAAAGCGTCTGGTGACCCTCAGGCTCCCCCCCGTGGGTCGCCAGAACCATCCAACCCGAGAAAAACTAACGCCAACTGGAAGTGCGCCACAGGGGGGACGGAGCAGCCCGAAAAAAAAGCGCGCTCTGGCTGGCTCTGGCAGGCTCTGGCAGCCCGTGGGTAGCCAGAAGTAGAAAATCGAAGAACCCCACTGCTGAAGTGTGGCCTCTTCGATTAGTTCCGGCAACGGTACGTCATGGGTTAGTCACGGAGGCCGTGGTTGAAGATGAGAAAGAACACTTGCTCCGGGCCAGAAGAACGAAGATGACGCCCCCATGTTTCCAAGCCCACACTTTCAGCGCGCTCATGTGGGTAGAGCAAAAAAAGTTTTTATTTCGCTTGTTCTAAAGCTCCTGCTGCTAAACTGCGAAAACAATTATGACATTGTCAACAGCAATGTCGGTCCTTCCTAAACACGAAGTTTCATTGAATTCTAAAATCCCTTCAGCTTCCCTTTAGGTCATGCGCACGGCCAGCGCAGCACACACAGGTTGAAAACATAACTGTAGTGTTTGCCGCAACTGCTGGGCAGAAAACCCGAGGTTGCTATCGACTTGTTAATCTATAGCGAATACGATCCGAATGTGCGCAGCTATCACAGCCGTAGATAAAAGGTAATAAAGGCATAAAACGACACGAAGCGTTACAGCCTTCCTGTTCATCACTTATGGCCACAGTAGTGCAAAGCTTCGTCACTTTCAGTTGCAGGTCGGCCTCTAATGAAGCTTTGGTTCACGGCGCTGTGCACTCGGCATGCCCCGAGAGTCGTCTGAATATTGTATTTTCTTCTGTATCACCCGCCCCTGCTAATAACCGACACCCCCGACCGCAAACAGCTGGAGGAAGAAAAAACTACTTGCGTGTTGCTACAAGGCCGTCTTCTTTGCATTGCTGTGAAGCCGTGCCGTGAAGCCAACTTGCGTGCCAAAATTTTCATATATCGTATTTACTCGCGTTATTCTCGCACTCGCATGATTTTCGCACCCCCAACATCGCTCAACAAAAATACGATTTCTTTTTTAAGTAATTATCGTACCCCCGAAAATTGCCGCAATAATGTCGTCTGCTCGTTCCAGCCACTGATGATGATAGCGTGCGCCGTCTGGTGCCATCTCCTAAGCATAGAGCATACTCTTATCGCACCGAAACTCAATCCGATCCAATCAAAGCCAAAGTGGCAAGTGTGCATTGCGGCATGACTTGTATGTTGTGTCTGTAATCTTGTTATGTTATGGGGCGATACAGAAGCTACACGGCTGCTTTCAAGTTGAAAGTGATTGATCATGCACTAAACAACGGCAACAGGGCCACCGGTAGGCCTTCGAAGTAGACGAGTTTTGTGTTCGCTACTGGTGACGGCAGCTGAAAGCCACCAAGACGTGCTGGGCCTTCCGTGTGCCTAAGACTGGGATCAATGGTTAACTTCATTTCTTCAGAAGGCAACTGCGGACGATTCTGTTAAATGGCCATCAGCCCAATACTGACGTCCTTCGCATACCTTTTGCAGACTCCTGTTGAGCGACGAATGCTACCGCTACGCTCGCAACGCCCACAAGCTTTGCGTACGGTATTCCGAATTCTCGACTATTTGATTGCGCCTTTTGTGTCTCAAATAAATCTTGCCTTGTGTTGAACCTGTGCTTTTATCGTTATGGCGTGAGAATCCGGACCTGCGGCCACTTGGTTTTCTTTTTCGCTCTGTACGTTTTCGTGGAGAGTTTTTCCCGCGTAATTCTCGCAGCCTCCAACTTTGCATCAGTTTTCCGCAAAAAAAAGTGTGAGGCTTATGCGAGTAAATACGGTAATTCACACCCCAACTTCAGCTCCAAAATTTCTGCATATTTCGATCGTATTATACACGAGAAAGTATGTTCACTCAGTGTTCGGCCAGGTACATCTGAGTTAGCGAGACTTAAATGCATGCGCTTGCTGGGACTGAAGGACGAGTCATAGTCATCAGATCTTACCTAGTTTTGTGGCCTATAGATAAAATTTCGATACTACGAAATTCTGCGACAACGAATTTTTACAGCGTCCCATCTATTTCATTGTAGTGAAATTTGACTGTAGTAGGTATCGCCCTTTTCCGAAGAATGATACATAATGGCACAGTGGACGCTTTCCCTCTACACAAAAATTTTTATGATTTATGGCATAGAGGGTACTATGCAAGTGTGCTTGTAGTAAATGCCCCAATAGTGGTTAAAAAAGGTCTCTAAAAAAGACACTCTTTTAGCTCTTGCTGTGACTGTGCTTCGCGTTCTGTGCCGGCCCAGTGGTTTTTCACAACTAAATACTAAACCAAAAAAATTACGGCATATTCACGGGGTGAATGATGATGAATGAGCGAAGCTCCGGAGGGATTCATCGGTAAACTGTGAATCTTCCGTGTAATTCGCCCAGTCGATCATCATGTAAAGACGTGAGAAACGCTGTGTGTGTATATACACAAATCAACTTTTATTTGTTCTTAGACGATGGATGGATTGCGATGTCCCTTGCCTCGCGCGCTCGCACATCGGGATTCTGTCTGCGAGCGCGCGCTGCTGCCGCCTTGCGCTCTCTCCGCTGTGCAGCCTTATCCATCCGGCGACTCCGAGCGCGCGCCAACAGCGAACGGATTTTATTACAACGCTCCCCCTAGTGTACGTCGCCGCACTAAATCGAACGATTGCCTTCAACCAATGACACGCGCCATATGTGACATCATTCCTATTTTATAAGATATCGCGTCTTTCATCAACTAAAAGTACCGCTTTCTAGTTTATAACATCTTGCATCTTTTCATCATCAGCTACAAGTACCACCATCTAGTAAACACTACAAGAACTAAACGAGAGGTGGCTACATACAGGAGACGGTACCGCCATCTAGTGAACACTGCAAGAACTAAACTAGAGGTGGCTACATACAGGGGACGGTACCGCCATCTAGTGAACACTGCAAGCACTAAACTAGAGGTGGCTACATACAGGCTACAGGGGACGCACAGCCCACGCCCTAAGGAGCTTCGCCCCTAAAAACAAAAATGCGTCAACAAGTTCCATTCCTTAAACAGCAAAATGCCAACTATTTAAAAAATGATCAAGTTTTGTTCTGGATGTACACAAATTGTAACCATAATTCCTTCATGCTCTTGGGTTTAGCAGGTTTCACCTCTTCGCACAATTTGGCTCAACTAGCACAGCAATAACATGAATGTTGTAAGCAAAGATAATGTGTATCAGTAAATGTGAAGTACCCTGAATTAAATTGTGAACCTCACAGCTAAAGAGGGGTTCATATTCTCGAGAGCACACCTACCTGTTTCAAAAGCATTCCCAAACAGGCAGAAAAATTAAATGTTTTAGTGACCCCAATCAGTAATAGACAACCAGACTGACTAAAAATTGCACCAATGTTGTAATTATTGTTCTGCACCCACAGCACACAAGAAAATTTGCATGCCTTTTATTTTCTTAAATCATAGAAGCGAAACGAAGACAAGGACAAGAAAAATAACGACACAAACACTGGTGCTGTAGTCTTTCTCGTCCTTGTCTTCGTCGCCATTTCATTATCTCAGAATGAATCAGTACCAACTAGCTCGCCTGTTCGTGTTGCCTCTAACCTTCATAAAATCATAAATTCTACAGTGGCTCTAAGGCAACAGGGTCTGAGAAAACGGAGCTTATTTTTAACAGGGGGCAAATAATAGAAGTTTCAACGAGAAGCCAATGCTCTGATTATGGAAAGAGTATTCGTCAAAGGTAACAAAATAATAAAGTGCATCACTCTGACAAATACCTCCTCAGTCAAAGATAAATAACAAAGACCTCAATTTTCGACAAATTCGTTCTTGCCAAAATTATGCCTCGATGCTGAGGCTTCTCTAGTTCATCCACAATGGCTTTAATTCACTTTTTGATGTTTCTCAAAACAAAATAATAGTATGCATCTTTCAAATGGATCAAAATAAAATATGAGAAAAACTAAAAATACACTGATACTACCAAGGACTCCTTATCTGGTGCAATTTTCGGAGCAGCAAAAGCTTTATTCTGGAACACTTTGGGGCAGCGAAAATCTCCAGCTTTGTTCAAGGGGCACGATGGCTCACGTATGTGCTATGTCGATAAGCATTAGAAGACTGGTCATAAACTTGCAGCAGTCTCAACACTTGCTTCAAACTTAGAGAACTGATAACACGAAAACTGCTCTGGTCCTTGGAGTGGCCATATTCCCTTAAACCCGTGTTTTGTTGAGTTACAAGGAATCTGATGCAAAAGAGCCACTAGCCTTACTTCGAATAATACAGTTTGTTGCTATCGGATTCACCTTTTTTAACCATCAGCTCATGGCTTACTCGGGACGCACGAACAAGCGCAGTATATTCAGCAGAATATTTCTTCGTCCGTGGTTGTGGCTTTGGCAGGCTCAAGATCAAGCTGTACATGTTTTGACGTGCTCGCGGTGCAATCACCAGTATTGGGGTGCAAACACCTCAATACCCAAAACTATGGTGCAGTTTGGCACAATTTAAGTTGATTTTATCAGGATGGTGAAGTAAATCCTATTTGGACCACTTTGTCATAGTTGGCACAACAGTGGAATCACTGAATGGATAAACTTACGTGAGAAATACCCGTAAACTCTTCCTGAAGTTGGGCGCAGGCATTCAGGTAGCTCTCAGCTTGTGCCATGGCATAATGATGGCCAGAGTCAGCCAGTGTTTGTGCCAAGCCAGCTGCGCACATTTGAACCAGCTGCGTCAGGCGTTCATCATCTTCCAGTTTCAACCTGCACAAACAGTACACAGTGAATGTAATGCTGTCAAGACGCTCCGCAGCAGTGGTGAAGACTTAAATTCACCCCCCCCCCCCTTTCTCTAAATAAAATAATCCAGCCATACTTCACCAATCAATGTCATCAGCTTTCAACACACCTGTCCCTCCCTTACCTCTGACTCTACCTGGTTCAACTGAAATTTTTCATGGTATGTCAAAGTGAGCATAAGAATGAGAGGCATAACACTTCATCACATGCATACCGTGCCTCGACACTGCTTAGAACATGCATGGCAATCCTGAAAATACCACATCCCATTCTGAGATATTGCTCTAGTCCCTAATTGAGCATGAACAGCCAACGAGATCACAAGCAAAAAACAAGACTTGCCTAAGGATGAGTTCTTTCCAGAGGGAGAACATTGCTTCTGTGTTCTTTTCCAGACAGTGCGATGATAACAGCACTCCCTGCCGAAGAAACGTGCAGCAGCACCGTAATACCGTGTACTATCTATCACCATTGGTAAACCTTTGCAAACAGGGCACTGACAGGAAACTAAATGCGATTTTTCCAGTATGGCTATGATAGTGAAATTCTAGTATATATCATAAATCTCATCATTATTAAACAATGCTAACTAACAGCAGTACTCGAGACTATTTCTTTCATTGCAAGGGCAAACAGTGTCACTATTCTGCTACAGTGGACTCGACATGTTGAGCAACATCACCCCACACACCAGCTGCACTTTATCAAGGCAAAAGCCTTTAATGTCTCTTTCTTATCAAGCCACTCTTATCAAACACATCATTGATAAGCAAGTGTAATCCACATGATTGCTGAGAAAGCAAAAAAGAACCAATAAAAAAAAACGTGGCAAAGCTAGCCTACTCAAATGGCCACAGGCTTAGGTTGAACACACTTTGGAATTTACCAAACGTCCTTCAATTTTGTCGCTTAAGATGGAAAGAAATGTCAGCAAATGTGATGCTAAACTAAACTAACTGTAAAATGCTATCTCTGAGCAAAACCTGAATCTCAACAGTAAGCAACATTGATGAGACTCAACAGACAATCAAACTAAGAAAAATAAAGGGGATGTTATTTGCTGCAAGTATGATACAAATGAGAAGAATGTGATATGAATGTGCTAGAGTTTGTCTAACAAAGAAAGAAAGTCACAGCTTTGCCGCAAAGGCAAAGCAATGAATGCGATAGCAACAAATTGGAATATCACGTGAAGAATAGCAAGTAGACTGAAACGTGCCTCGCGTTGCTCACATACAAACAACACAAGAAACATACTCACAGATACAGATGAACACGAATAAGTGCCTCAGTTGTTACTACACTGTGTCTGAAAAGCACGCCCTTTTCACAAATGGAGACTGTGCAGTGAGTAGAGTGACTTTTGTTGGCTAACTACAACAGAATCGTTCCGGTGGAAGCCCAAGGCGTACAATTCTCCCCACCCCACATGTGCGCGCGTGAGCGTCAACCTTCCCCCCTTCTGAGGGGCAAAGTACGCGTGAGAGATCAACATGTCAGACTGCGTTCTGGCGATCTGGCGATGCACGCTGATTGTACCATCTTGCTGGTAATGCTGAAAACACGATAGTTGCCCAGAGATTGGCATTACCAGCAATAAGTGGTAGACATAAATAGCTTGCCGTTTCAATGTTGACGGAGGTGCTCCTTCATCGCTCAGTGGCTAACGCCACACACAACCAAAAAGTCAGACGTTCGAATCCGCGTGCCGGAGTCTTTTTCTGGATATTTTTCTTTCTTGCATTTTCATATATATAGATACGTATACATATACGGTGAATGACAGCAGTCACCAACGTCGGCAGCAAAATCCAGCAGAGAGTGTCCATATAATTGCTATCGCAATAAAAATGAGCCCTTAAATATCCCATCTCTCGCTTATTCATGCAGAGGGCCTCATTCTAGCAGACTTGATGCCTTCAGGTTGTATGAGAGGGATTATTGGTCAATTTCAAGCCCGCGAAAAAATCACATGCTTTGTCACACTAGTAGGCAAATAAGTGTGTTCCACAACTGCTGTCATGACTACGAGTGGCGGTGACTGGCACCCCAGATTTAATGCACAGATATACTCAACAAAGAGAGCGAGAGGACAACGGCTGCCATAGCTCCATTGGTAGAGCATCAGACGCTTTATTCAAAGGTTGCAGGTTTGTTCCCTGCAGGTGGCAAGTTGTCTTTTCGTCCACTTCGATTCCTGCCCAATTAAATCATAATTACTCCAAATGAAATCCTCTATAGTGCTTTCCTTGGCTAGATTGTTTTCATTAATGTTGTGTTTAACAAAGAAAAACAAGCCCTTCAATTCCCTTGATTTCATTCATCAATAGTAAGCAAGCAGTTTAGGAGGATTAGTTCTGCACAGCTCGCACTTTTATACTTATGCAGCATTCAGTCAGCCACTCGTTAGCCCCTTCCAAACAATATCGCTTGTTTACAAGAGTGAGCCTGTGCAGGCATCACATTGACAAATAAATACAAATATCATACTGTGCTGATACCCAAACGAAGCAAGCAAACACCATTAAAGTAATCGCATATAGCTAAAAACAAGTTCAACTGACCCCTCTATGCAAAGCAGTGGATAGACAGCTTATTTGTGGTCATGTAACTTCTTCAGAGCAATGTAAACAAAAGAAAACATACAGCAGTTAAAGAAAACATTTTCTTTAGCAATTTCTCCAGCTCAGTTACTGACCCATGCACTAATACTAATTATTATTTGAAATTTTTTAGCTGACTGCAAAAGTAATTTCTAATTACCTATAAAGCAGGCATTTGCAAAATATATAGTATTGAGTGCTTGTTACAGCAAAAGTACTTGCACTAAGAATCAGCGGCTATAATAAGGTCTTAAATGCACCCAAAATGGGGGGTTTCTGTTGTATCAGACAAGTTTTCAAATTGCCTTTGCACTAGCTAGTAAAATACTTTTGGAAACATAAATTTCTACTTCTTTAAAATTGTTTCTGCTTCACATAAGTAATACTGGAATTCTAAACAGAATTTTTTCTAAAAACACCTTTGTAGCACAACAACTATATATTTATATTCTTTTGTACAAAGTTAATTTTTTGGTTTTCTTATCTTTGGCTTCACACAAGAGGTGTCTTTCGTGACTAACAAAAATAAATGCAAGGTCAAGTTATTGGTAGCCAAATGAATTTATACACTTTGTTACATAACACTTCGATGTGCTGCTACAATTACATTACCTGCTCAAAACGACCATGCTCAGTTGGGTGAGGAGAGATATGCACAGAAGTATGGAGTCCCCCTGTCTTCAGTTCGACTTCCTGAGAGAACTGGCGGTAATCCTTGTCTTGAGTGCCCATTCTGAAAGAAAAAGGGATGTTTAGGAAGCAGGCATCATACAGAAACTCTGCTTTCGCCAATTCAAAATTATGAGATAAATGAAGCCATTTTCTCGACGCACCAGCGTTGAGTTCCATGAAATTCACCACATGCCAGACAGCTTGTTGGTCAGCAAGCAAATTTGTTCAGTGAGTAAGTGCAACTCTGTTGCTCTAAGCATTGACTTATAGCCACTCTCCTAAAACAGTGATGTAAGCAAGCTGAATAGCTGCACGGCTGTCTCGTGAAAAAGCACAGGCAAAGCTCCATAGGGGTAGCAATGTTCCAGTTGCGGTAGTTACCACTAGAATATTCCACCTACTTTCTTGCCCAGCAACCAATCCAACCCAGTGCTGCTTCCAATACAGGAAAGCAGCATTCTTTATTAAACAGCTGCATAGCCTTGTTGGCCTTGGCATGTACTCCAGGCACGGGTGGCAAATCTGCATCACTACACATAATCACTACTATTCTATCATGCATACACCTTGGAAACTGATTCACTCGAGCAAATAAACACCAATAAGTAATGATTCTTGGTAGTTGCAAGGTGAGGGTAGAAAACCAATTACTGCCTGTTTTAATGCCACGGCTTGTGCTGATTCCTGATCACGCACGTAACACCTAAGAGATATAATGTCCATTATTCAGTCTTTTCTTCAAACGAAGAACAAGCAGATTTCAAAGCACAGTTTTCTGAGAAAGCTAGCCCCACATTATGAACAATGCCATAGCACATATGAAGATTTTCATTCATTTTTGTTATCACTTTTCTTGGAAGACTCAGTAAGGCTATCACCCTTCACCTTTTTTTCTTTGAAGAGGTCGTGAACCACCACAAATACACTACGCAAAAAAAACACATTCTATTAACAACAAACACTGCTAAGGGCCACTCAGCCAAGTTTTGTGGTCGTGCACGTGGTACGTAGAGTTGACAAGCAAAGCACAAAGTTGCCACTTTCCCAAGCACCCTCTTTCCATACAACACCTGTCCTCACTCCATTTAAAGTCGGTAGCAGCTTCTGAATGATGTCATACAGCAGGTTGCTGCTACTGGCTAATAGCTGGCATAAACCAAGAGCGGCGTTTGGATCATTGGATCATATTGGCTTCTTGCCTCGAGGTGCTGCCACAGATTATAGTGTGATAAAGTAGACACATGCTGGCATAGAGTCTTGCCCCTTTGTTATCACTCCCTTATGTAAAGTCAAGACAAGAGCACATAAAAAAAAAAACGCTCAAATCATGCAACAAATCCCTGTACCTCCTGTTGTCTATCACGGATTCCATAAATTTTTGCAGCCACCAATTTGTGAGGCAATAAACTCTGCTAATAAGGCTATTTGATGATTACATAAAAAACTCAAAAGTTCGCTGCAAGGGCAAAGCAATGAATGTGACAGCAACAAATTGGAATATCATGCGAAGAACGACAAACAGATCAAAACGTGCAGTGCGCAACTAGATACGCAAGAACCCCCAAGAAGAACACACAGGACGAGAACGAGCTAACCATGTTCACAGCTCAATGCTCAACACACTGCTCAAACTCAAAGGACACACGAAACGTACATGCACAGGCATACATAGGATGAGCACAAACTAACTGGTGTCACAGTTGTTAATTAACTGTGTTTGAAAAGCATACTCTTTTTGTGAATGGAGAGACTGCAGCGAGTAAAGTGACTTAGAAGGGCCCTGCTACAGTGCAATTGTTCCGGTGAAAGCTAAGACGTACAATTATTTGCCACGGATAACTGGAGTCACAGTTATTAATTCACTGCGGTTGAAAAGCATGCTCTTTTTGCGAATGGTGAGACTGCAGCGAGTGAAGTGACTTTCAAGAGCCCTGCTACAGCGCAATCGTTCCGGTGAAAGCACAAGACGTACATTTCTCTGCCATGACAAGATACGCACGTGCGCATGGGGGGGGAGGGGGGGGAGGGCACGCACTGTAAGGCAAAGTACACGAGCAGGCTGCTGTGCGCACCCTTCGTGCCATCTCGCTGGAAAAGCTGAGAACACGTTGATATTTCCCCCAAGATGGGCATACCGCCAGCGTAAATGGTGCATATAATACCTCGCAGTTACAACAGCAGAGGACGTGTTTTCTCGTCACTCAGTGGCTCTGCGAGAGGTCACCCGCTCAATTCCACATGACTGAAAATATTTTTTCGAGTTATTTTTCTTTAATGATTTATTTATTTATATATATATATATATATATATATATATATATATATATATATATATATATATATATATATATATATATATATATATATATATATATATATATATATATATATATATATATATATATATATATATATATATATATACAGCACAAAATCAATCAACAGAAAGTGTCTATATTCATTGCCATTGCAATAAAAGTAGTCCTTTAGTATTTCCCATATCCTACTTCTACATCCACAAATGCTACTGCCCAACTGTATGTGAGGGAGCTGCCTGCAAATGTTTCCAAAGAACGCAATCTACCTTTTTAATTTTCCTGTGCTACCCTCTGCCATTTTGGAAGAGTTTCGGGAGGGGCCAGGAAACACTGTATTGACAGAACAAAAGCCTTCGAGAAAACAGGTATTTTGTGACCTTTTCACTAGGGGAAGGGTGCATGTGCAAGAGCATCGTAAAAAAGGAGGATTGGTGCCAAAATCAGTCTCCTAGTCCAAAATGCTTAGAAGCATCATTGTTTAACAATTCATCACTTCAAATCTCTGCCTTCCTGCAAGCGTGTATCTTGTTTAGGATTGGACTAGAACTATTACTTGCAACACATTACAATTCCTCATAGTAGTGCAATGTGAAAGCAGTGAAGGCACATACTTAGTAAGAACTTCACACAGGAGTGGAACCATGCGCTTCAATTCAGGAGGCAAGTGCGAGGCATTGAGGACAGCCCGAAAATAGGTTACTCCATTAGTGGCCTGCTCCGTGGTTTGCACTTTTACTCCACCTGCACATGAACAAAGAGACGGTCTGGTTTTTAGGCCACCAGGCCACCAATAAATTCTCCACCATGTCACTTTAAACTTTTCTTCACGAATATAGATTGTACTGCACTGTACACGAAAACTTTTGCCACAAGATTTTCTTCCAAAAGTGCAGCAACAGCAACGCTACAGTGATTCAGAGCAATAATCTCTTGGTGTGCACCATATCTGCCTTTCCTTTTAGAGTGATGCAATCCCGCCCATAGTCCTATAGCACTGCCACTATTAGCATTATTTTAGCATTACTTAGTCTATTTCTCTTAACTTTTTCGTTACCCCGCCTATTCAAATCGATCACCAGTGATCGGCACTTTTGGATCATAAGATGTGGCATGTTAAATTTGTTTTTCGTGCACCCAGCACTTTCTAGTAGTTAGTCCAGCCACTCAACTTTCAGAATCAATACGAATTCGCCCGTTTTGGCAACATAGTGATTTTCGACAGACTTTTGCACGAACCAATGTGTGTGTATTGAAAAAGTGCACTAGGCTGGCGAACTTGACAGAAGTGCGTGCCCCTCGTGATTATGCTACAGCTACATTGAAGTTCTGTAATGAAAAGAACTTTGGCAAGCCAAATATCAAATTAAAGTGTCCGCTTTGCAATTTCACTATGTTAAGCATTAAAATTTGCCAGAAATTTGTTCAGTAGAGAGCTGTTCCTAGGAGTCAAAAAAAATTTATTGTACAAAAAATATTCACGAAGGTCCACTGCATGTTTAAAGTGCCGAGGTGGCCTTCTCTGACAGTTTCTAGCAACTTTGGTTTTCCTTGCATCGTTATATCAAACACAGGGTTGCATCTAGTGTCACTAGTTGCTCCTCTGACGTCGTCACGAGCGCATGGGTGCGCGCCAGCACTGCAAAACACATTCGCTGCTCGAAAACTGTCTTGCAACCACCCCTGAATTGAGTGAGAAGGAGCTTAGAGTTCGAGGATGACCGCATCTGAGCTTCAAGTTTTATAACGACGATGTTTTGCGTCAGCCTGAGACATCCGCAGTCGTTCATGAGTTTCTTTTATTTACATCCTGAAGTTGTCTCCTCCACCGCAACTGCGTGTAGCTTCTGACCTTTGTGCACAATCTTATAGCTATTCTCGTTATGTGCGTGGTCCACACTTCACTGGAGCACGGTGTGCTGTCACTGGCTGCAGAGCCTCTCCTAACGACAAGAAGGCCCCCGGAGCACATGTTGGCCGAGACTATGAAACAGTGCGAAACATTTTAGAACTGCACGCGATATTGTTCTTTTTTATTACATTATGCGCAAAAATTCCAATAAATATGCTTGGATGCACATATTGGAACACCAATCTATGCAGAGTGAGGTGGCCCATGGAAAGAGCTGACGCTAGATGAAATAGCAAATTTCACTGGACACCTCATTTATAAAGGGATTATTCACATCACGGGTATCCATCTATATTGAAACACCTGGAGACTCTTATCGCTAGACAGCAAAAATTTACTGAGAAAAGTGTACGAGTACACTGGTGTCTCATGAAAAAGCATGTAATGCTTCACCGCATGGCATGAGCAACGGAGCAGCACCTCTGTTCCAATTTTCTTTGTCTATGCGAAGAAGAACATCTTTTACAACACTCATTATTTTTTATGCTGTTCCTGGGTCATTTATATATAAAATGTATGTTCTGAGTTTTCTTTGTTTTTAATATTGTTTTGAATATATAGTGTTCTTTATTGCACTGTTCACCATCCGGCTACCGAAAATTCCACACTTTTTACATTTTTATTCATTCTAAAATATTTTTGTTGCTCTACAGCATATATTTTTTGGAAAGAGCATTTCCATGTACAAAGTTTGGTATGCTGCAATGCATGCTGGAGTACTTTTCAAACGGGCAGAAACGATCTTCCCGAAACATATGAAAAACAACCACTTTCACGTGGTAACGAAGAGTTAATTAAAACTTGGATAAAACCAACTAAACTGTTATAAGCACCTGGCAGGTTGCATAAAAAGAGGCAGAAGTAACATACGAAGCTATTCAAAGTGGCAGTATTTAACAGACTGCAACACGCTCCCAAATCAAACGAGTGTCCAGTTTTAAAGGCTCACAATACAAAACAAGGCCTCACTTTATAACACACAAAAGAAAACTGTAACCCTGGTAACTACAAATAGAATAAAACTGGTAGCGTCTACATTCAAAGAATAAAAATTCATTTAACGATAGGGATAATAGATTTCCATTCAATCACAGATATTTTTTTTATCATTGTACTTATCCTCAATGTGGTCTACTGTATTTGATATTTCCCATTTCTTGAATTAATCTGCAACCACCTCAAATCAGATGGAGCCCTACGCCTAGACTAACCACCTTACCTGTTGATTATCTAATGCATGCAACTCTGCGGAGCACTAGGAAACTAAATCAAAGAACCCAACCATTTTTTTTTTCTCACTTTGGCAATTCTCAAGGCACACTCCCTACATCCAGAGTCGAAACAAAAGTGACGAGTTGCACATTAGCTGCTCAATAAACCCGGCAGACTAATGCACAGTCATAGATGACACAGTTATGAAGGCACATGGTGAAAACAAACGACTGCTTGTCCCAGCTTTGACCCCAGTTGCAATCGACGCAATGATAGATAGTGCCCACATAGTTTGTGTACAACAAGTAAAATAAAAGCGAAACATGTTTACTAAAGCTGCTGAAGCTGGGTTCATACTTTAAGAAAATGGTGCAGCAGAAAAGATCAAGAGAATTTTTAACCACATGAACACTGCTTGTCTTCTCTGTAGCTCTATTTTCTAAAACAATTCATCTGTACCAACTCGCACAATAGTCTGTTCTAAAAAAAGTTTTGATTGCCGACAACCTAATTGCCGTAAAAGTGTGGATGGCAACTACACCTTTTCAAATGCCGCGGCCATGTCAGTTGTACACAAACCCCGTTATCACTCCTTTTCCTAGCACCTTTGTGGTGCTTCGTGCTTGACATGCTCCGAGAATCATCCAAATAAACTGGGTTGCAGCCAAACATGCCCATATTAACAGAACTTTGACATCACTAAAAATACATATGCTTGCCAGGACCCGAGAACACATGAATTATTCAATTTTCCAAATTAACAGCGGTCAAATTAATGAGCTTTTACTCTGGCAGCTCAATGATTACAATTGGTGCCTCCTCTTCCGCATATTCCATTCACGTAATAATATTTTGACAAACTCAAATATACTTCAGCTTGAAGAAAGTCTCCACTGCGACTGTACAGTAAGCAGTGAATTTTGCTCAACAGATCAAGTGAAAATTTTCAAAGTGCATCATATTATAGCAAGGTAAGCCTCTTAGTGCAGTCTCGTGTAAGTGACACATTGCTAGCACTCCAGCTGCTCACAATGCAAGGTTTCAGAGCTCACCCATATTGATGTGGTTCAGCTTGGTCAATTCGATAGTTGGGGCAACATCCTTGAGGAGAAGGCGGGGCAGACAGCTTTCGTCTTCCTTCTTGGACTGGTGCTCCAGCAATTTCAGACCTGCACAAAAAGCTTTTAGTATATCCCTTTCCATACCAAATTTTCAGTAAAGAGGGAAAATTTTTTCCGTGTTCTTTTCATAGCTAAAAGACTTTTGAAGAAGCATGCAAAAAATTTCGGAGACTGTAACCATGTCCAGTATGCTGGACACTAGGATTCCTTTGTTGCACTGATGGGTGGACATATTCTGTTAACTTCCTTAAAAGAGTGTTGCTTTTGATCCTGTCAGAAGCTTGATGGTCTTACAAAACCAAAAAGTGGTTTGTTTTTAATCCTGGAAAAAGAAAAAAAATTTGATGGCTGACAGTTGCACATAGCGCCATGAAGGTAAAAAACATAGAACGGAGCACGCTAAGCGTACAGAAGCCAATTTCCTGAGACGATGCTTTGTCCTCGTGCACCATGCTCTTGACAGAATTCCCAGGATGCTTCTGTTTCATTTTTTTAATGGGTAAATTTCAAGTTCGTCGCCTGAAGCTCACTCCTAGTTTTCTTTTTTTTTTTTTTTCTGCATGTTTGGCACGATGCGATACAATTGAATCCTGGTGTCCAGTGTACTGGACATAAAAACATTCTCGCACTGCGAGCAAATTACTGCTTACAAAAGCTACCTTTTTGCCTCATTGTTTCATGAGGACATCAGTCAGCACACATGATTTAAATCCTTTGAATGGCACGAAGACAGCTCCTAAAATGATTTTGTATACCTAACCACACTATGCGCACGCCGTTCCTCGTGGATGGCGCTCATTTTCTAAGGCACCCTCACAAGGAAGTGGGGCTGAAGGAGGAAAAACATTCACAATTATATTGCTAGCCCCTTACAGAAGCTGCAAAAGTGGTTTCAGCTCCGATTATGGCTCCGCATGCTTTTCTGCACCGCCTTTTTTGGTTTGTCCAGTACAGTCCTCACTGGGACGGAAAGAGATATATATATGTCATCAGAGAAAACTGCAAAATTACAACCACTTTTGTGTCTCCGTACAGCACCTCCTCAAAGGTCTATATATAGACTGCACTCCAAATGTATGAACCCAAAAAGTTTTGAGCTGAAAACCAGAGGTGCAAAGCAGTCCCACTCCTGTCAAGCACAGTTTTTGTCCAGCTTTCTTCAGGCAGATTATGGGAGAAAGCACAGGATATAGCTAGGTGGCTCACAGACTCCACCAAAGTGCTTCGGTGACCACAACCTAGCAAAGAAGCACACTGCAGCTTCTTCGCTTTCGTATGTCCGCTCCGCAATGTCCTTGATAGCAAAGTCCAGGTTTGCCATGTAAATTCGTGCTGTGAGCGGTGCTAGGAGGCCTAGCTATGACTTCAAGCAGTAAGCTCAGTTGTGGTGTGCATGGCGACAGTGCCCAATGTTTGAAAGTATGTCATGTTTTATTGCAAATACAAAGAGCTGTCCCATCACAGCCTTCGAAGTCTAATATGCTTGTAAGCAGAACCTCTAAGCGCAGGTGCCACAAGTTAACGTTACACATAGTCAGTCCACGATGTGGGTCTCAAATGTTCAAGGAGCGCAGTGCGCTATAACCCGATTACTGAGGTTCCGGTTGCAGGTGCCAAACTAAAGTGTAATTATAGGCTAAATGATCGTTGACTGGTGCACACAGAAGGAGTAAAAACGCATTATTAAGTATTATCAACAGCTGTGACCTCACCATGCGCAAGCAAGAAATGATACTCTCCTGGAACGAGGATAGGACCAATGGCGAGGCACGCTGGAGCAACACGGCAATCGCGGCACTTCAGAGGCCTTAAAATGAACTTTAAACATTTCCTTTTTGTATGCTTCTTTCTGGATGAAGAACCTAGCTGAAGAGGGAAATTCGAAGATGAAGCAAATGGTCTTTTCAATGAGCCCAATATGGCGCTGCCCAGTTGCGCCGTTGAGAATCTAAAAATTTTTAGGATATAATTTAAGATTTACTAAGGGATTTTCTTCAACATCTTTTCTGTAATTTTGCTTCGAAGTGTTTCAGAAGGATTCGAGAAATATTCGACACTTTATTATTCAAATTCCCTTCACACCCAAAAAAGAAATTGCTATTCGTGCAGCTGTGCGAAAAAACATGGTTGATCCTTCCATCATACGAATCGGTAAAACACGAAAGTAAAATGTGTCTTTACAGAAGTACCCTAAAAACCGAAATGTAAAGGTCGAATTTAAAAAAAAAATGTAATAAAAAGTTGACCATCGTCGTATATTGGCCGCGAGCACCTCCACTGGGGAAGCCAGAGCTGTTATCAATTTGACGTCAGAGATAGGACGCTCTTGCTCGCCCAGTCCAGCCGTGCCTCGCCTAGTTGTGTACTTTTTGTGGAATGTGACATTCAGGTGAAATTGCGGTACGCCACATTCAGTTCCCTGCATGAGAAGCTTTTTTTGGCCTGCTGGAGATATCACCGTTGATAGATATTTGGGGTTTAACGTCCCAAAACCACCATTTGATTATGACAGACGCCATATCGGAGGGCTCCGGAAATTTCGACCACCTGGGGTTCTTTAACGTGCGCCCAAATCTGAGCACACGGGCCTACAACACTTCCACCTCCATCGAAAATGTATCCGCCGTAGCCGAGATTCGATCCCGCGACCTGCGGGATCGAATCTCTTGCATCATGCTCTTGCATCTTGCTCTTGCATGATGCAAGAGCATGATGCAAGAGCAAATCACTTGCATCATGCTCCATTGCATCAACTGTACCAGCTTTAGGTCACCGTTGTAGCATGCTAACTAGACACACGGGTGGCACCAGAGGCACTGCGAGTTCTAGTTTGCTTGCCCGGTTGATAGACCATACCACTTTTTTAAGAAATGAGCTTCAGGGCAAGGGGAAGCATGCACAGTGCACACAACAAAGACGCGTGGTACAACAAACGGTGCACACAACAAAAAGCTTAGAAATCTCTCCTGGAAAAGATGGTGCGCAAGTCTTTCTGCAAATGCTCCATCAGCATCGCATTGGATGGAATGGAGGACAACACACTCTGGGACGTAACCAGTGAGAAACAGACGCCGTCGAACTCAAGTTTCGATGAGTCTGAGTGACAGAACTTCATGGCCTTCTCGCGTGTAACTACTTAAGATTAGCATCGAAATAAAAAGAGACGGCACCACAGTGCAGCTGGTTGTGTCGTGTATTTATCAAAGTAAGGATGCGCCGCGATACTTTACGATTTTTAAACATTTCTTTTTCGGAGATTCAAAGTTGGGAGGGGTCTACCTGTATTTCTGTCTGACCTATATTCTGGTTTTTACAGTAGTTTAATGTTTAATGTACAACTGTACATTCATATAAGAGTGCTTGCGCTATGTATATTGGTGTTTGATAGCTATACCATCACTTGACATGAATGCACCACATTGATGCTTAGATCATGGCCTCCGAGATGGCGGGCTTCTATCCGGCCGTCCCAATCGCACGATGAAAGCGTGTTTCAAGAGGTGGGCCATGCCCACCTCTGGAAAAAAGAGATGATAACTCAGACACGAAAAAGGAGATGATGACAAGTCAGGCATTTTCACTGTGAAATACGTGGAGAGTATTGAATGTTGGTTGGCTAATCCATGCTTTTATTCCAGCAAAATTACTTATCACGTGCCTTATTTCAACGACATGACCAGGGTACTCGGTTATCTAGAGCCTAACTGCACTTCGGTTGACCACCTAATAATATATCTTTACACGATATAATAGTGAAATTATAAGCCAGAACAGGAGAGCAATACGATTCAACAACGATAATTAGCCCAGTTTTCCCCCATACAAGTCTCCAGAAAGGAGGAATACTAGAATGCCTCTATAGTTCTCAAATCGAGGTACTTAGCACCCAGACAAAATGAACCGTAATGAAAAAAAAAAGTAATACTGCCACAGACGAATTGATACCTCCTTACAATTATTTATCAGGAAAATGCAGCATTATCCATATTCTTCTTCGTAAATTGGACCAAAATAAATGCAGTAACAGAAACAATACTTTCCTTCAGTTCAGCCAGAAGATTCTGGCAGTGATTCTTGTGCGTAAGCGTAAATAAAAACCATGCGAACCCTGGAATCATGTGCGCTCTGCTGTTTGCTGCGGTCTCTGCCGCCGGAATCTGCGCCCTCATGCTGTAGCCTGGCGCGAGGCGATACTCTTTCATTTTGCTGGGAAGCACGGCGATAGAGACGGTCGAAGAAAAACACGCCACGCACGTTTATTTTGGAAGCCATGCATAGTCATACATCTTCATCATGACAAATAACGTCCATCATCAATTATTAAACAAACCCCTGTGCTCATAGATGCTTGTGGTAGCTAAAGTACCATATTTATCCGCCTAACGAACCCACTCGCATAATGAAACAATCGCCCACCTTGGTCCTTGAAAATAAACTCTACCTTTTCACGTATGTGTTCCTTTTATTTTGGTGAGATATCCAGTACCTTTAACAATAGAAACAATGTTAAACTACGCCATTATATCACAAAATACTGATGTAATAAAAGTAAAAACTAAGTTTTATAACCATGCTAAACAGTGGCGAGCAGCGCGAGTGCACACAATGTCAATCAAACTTTAAGAGTCGCGTCATTTGTGGCAGAGCCCCATCTGTTGAGCACAGAAGAAACCTCTTTGCTTATGGCGCCACACAAGCACAGCAACGTGAAAAACAATGCTACAACAAAGCGAAACCTGGTGGAATGGCGCGGCTCACCCGCAAAGCCGCAAGCGTGCGTGCGCCGACATCGGACGCTGCGTTTTTGATGTTGGGTTTGTCGTAGTGAATTTCATTGGACATCTGCTGCGCGGGGCACGATCGGCCAGTTTTACACAAAAAGTTGGCCAAGTATGTGCCGGAGCATGAGAACCGAGCAGCTGGAGAACACTTTGTAGCAATCTGTGCGTGTTTGTTATGGGAGAAAACAGCTTCAGGCTACAAAAAAGGTTCGTCACGCACTTTGCAAGTGGAAACAAGGACAGTCTTTTTTTGTGGAGAGAAGTTTT